CTGGATGAGTCAAAGTATCTTCGACGCGTGGCAACAGGGCCTGTTCTTCATGCAACTTCACGCTCGAACGTTACTCCGGCCGTGTTGAGGCCACGTTGAGCTCGGCAGCTCTTTTAGGAGGATCTGGCCACAGCCCAAGCACCCTCGGAGTCGTGGGGGAGGGGATGTGCAAACTAACCAGAGCACGAATTGTTTGTGGCGAAACCCACGGGCCAGAAGTTCCTGCAAACAGGATTAACGGTGCCGAAATATGTCAAGGGTCATTCCCCGAAACGTCGCCTGATTTATAGTTTGCCTTCTAAGGCCACGGTGTTATTTCCTGTACCTGCGGTTAGCTCGGTTGGCTACGTATGGTGCGAAAGACGTTCAGCGTACACACAATTGACGCATGTGAGTTTTTCGTTTATTGTGCTTTGTGCACCGCTGCCAGTACAGAGATGACCAAATAATTAGTTGAATTTATCAAAAAGTGCCGTGGTTATTTTTTGTGTACTGTTTTTTTAAAAATAAATGACGTTTTAAGAGAGGGAGCTTTTCTAACTCTGTCATGGGCGCTTTGCAGCATGGAAAATAAACAGGAAGGAAATAAGTAAGGGATTGCTGATTAATTCATATATTTGGTAATCTTAGGGTTTGCAGGTGCGTGGTTTTTAGAAATGGGAATCATTGGGGCCATGACGCCACCATCTGCTTTCGTCCGGGAAATCTCGCTTCGCTTCGAGACCTGATGGTCAAGTTGCTACTGCATGAGGCTCGCAGTGCGATTCCCGTTCCCACCACTTGCTGAACAACAGCAACCGCTTAAGTGCTGCTGCAACTGTACATATGTATGTATGCTGCGAACAATCCCAAGTGCGCAATTTGTGGGCGATTTTTTAATATATATATTTTTTCCCCCTTTCAAATGTGGTCTGACGCCAGCACACGCAGTGGGCTTGCTCTTGCGACCAGCGTCATGGAGATTTTTTACATTAGCTGTGAGGCAGACCGGCGCTTAGTGTCACGGTCAATACACGCGCAGTAATAATCGGGGCAGTCTAACGGATTCGAACCGTGAACCTGCGCGACAAGTGGCGGACACGCTGCCGCTGGGCCACGTCACACTGGGCCACGTCACGCTGGGCCATGTATGTTGTATGTTGAACGTCTTTTCGCACACCCTATGTAGCCACCAACCGTGCTACTCGGAGGTGTGGGATTGATGAATAATAATAATCTCAAGTTGCAGTGCTCCCGCACCGTACTCGCTCACTCTCCAAGAGAGGGAACGACTCGGAGGCACGAGGAAATGCAGACGCGGGAGACATTGCAGGCGTCCCTCACGCGTTCCTAAAAAAACAGCACGTTGAGACGAATCGCGCTGCATGAAGCCTATTTTCTAATTGACCTGTATGTCACGAGCGGGGGGTGCGTCGCCGAAGAAATGTCAGTGATCATTCTATCATTGTATCCCTGGATTTTTAAAAACATGTATAAAATGCAATGCTTAAGAATAATATTAACATTACAAAAATTACTTGATAAGGAGTTTAATAACAAGTAATAATGCTTAAGATTAAAAAGATTACTACTTACAATATTACTAAATAAGGAGTAATTTCAGGGCTTCTTAAACGCTTCCCTGGGCTGCTTGCAGCTGCACTCGTGACGCAAGCAAAGGGGGCAGAATCACGACGATGGCAGTATCCAGCCGGCCACGCTGGGCACTGCCATGACGTGGTGGTGGTTGTGGTGGTGACGATGTCATCTACGACGATGGCACTGTCCAGTCTGCCATGCTCAGCACTGCCATGACGTCGTGGTTGTGGTGGTGACGATGCCATCTACGACGATGGCAGTGTCTAGCCGGCCACGCTGGGCACTGCCATGACACAGTGGTGGTGGTGGTGACGATGCCTTCTATGACGATGGCAGTGTCCAGTCGGCCACGCTGGGCACTGCCAATGACACAGTGGTGGTGGTTGTGGTGGTGACGATGCCTTCTATGACGATGGCAGTGTCCAGTCTGCCACGCTGGGCACTGCCATTACACGGCGGTGACGACGCCGTCAGAAAAATATTTATTTCTACTTAGAATTTTTGTTACCATGGATTTTGTTTTTCTCTTTGTTTTTTTTTCTCTTGAGTGCGTAACTGTGAAACGCATCACGTTTAAGTGTGAGGTATGTCCCGAAAAAAAATGAATCGCTTAACTGTGAATTTGCGCTGGTGGGTGGGTGAGGGTTTTGTTGTGCGAGAGATGCCAACGTTCTCTAGCCTCTGTTGACAGGATGTTAACCGTGCTCTTGATAACAATTGATTGCTTTGCAAAGACCCCCTTGCTAATAAGGCCACGTGGCACATTGTCTCCAGGTCCTATTGTCTTCACGGGTCGTTTTCTCCGTCTCGTGGGCGAATAAACCTATTAAATATTTACCACTAATTGTCTCTTATTTGACCAGGTGAAAACTAAATTGAGACAAAGAGTCTCTTAAGACGAGTGCGACTCGAGTCGGCATGTGGCAGCAATGCACGTGCAGGTTAGGGCTCAACACACAGGGCTGAGAGGTCAGCAAAGAGGTCGACAAGAGATTCTAGATTTGAAGTTTTCCTGACTGCAAGGATCCATACTCTTTGGTTCTTTCGGTAAAGTCACGTAGGTAAACAATAAATATATAAATTTTGATTTAAAGCTTTCGTGACTGCAGTAATTCATATTCTTAGTTTTTTTCGGTAAAGTCACGTTGAAGAGAAACAACAAAATAACAAAATATATATAAAACAATAACAAATTTTCTCACGACGTTTCGACCATAACTCAAACGGTCATCATCAGGTGTGTCAAGTTTGCATAAATTTATTTTTTAAATAAATTTATTTTTAAATAAATTTATGCAAACCGACACACCTGATGATGACCGTTTGAGTTATGGTCGAAACGTCGTGAGAAAATTTGTTATTGTTTTATATATATTTTGTTATTTTGTTGTTTCTCTTCAACGTGACTTTACCGAAAAAACTAAGAATAATAATAAATATATACATAACTTAAACCGAGAAGATTGATTCAAATCGAGCCTGTTATTAACCATGTTAAACTTTAGCCGCCACTCTCCCCCGCTCCGCGTCCCCCCCCCCCATCCGTGGTACAGGAGCAATAGTCGGAGCAGCTTTACCATCCTGGCGCCCCCCCCCCACCCTGTGTCCGTCCTCCCTGGCTCCTCCCCCCTCCTCTTACCCTATATAATTAATCTCTCATCACAAATAGCTCTCTACAGTAATTTTGCTGTGCTATTTACACCTGATGAAGGAAGCTTGTGTTGCCTCCGAAACGTCGTGATTTAATTTGGGGTCTGGGTTTGAGTCCGCATCTCGCCCGCCCGCCCTCCCCAATGATTAAGCGGGGTTCTCAGTAGCACTGCCCCCTTGCGTCACGTGGAGCGCACCGGTGGGTCGAGAAAACTGCCCGGGACGGGTGGTGGTGGTGGGGGCCTGGCTGGCATTTCAATATTATTGCTTGTAAACAAGTTTCAACATTTTGAATGATAATCGTAATAAAAAAAAACATTCAATGTGTTTGTTGTGGGGAATATCAATAACATACCAACACTGGCGGCCTCAAGGTTGGGTCGCCATTGACCCCCTCCTCTGTCCTCGATTCACCATGGGTTTGGTGGTCCCCTGGCTCCCTGGCATAGGCCCAGGGCAGGGATTACATTTTCTCAAGTTGATTGTACCGGTTCGTTGTAGCTTCTCCCGAGTGCTTTGGCGCAAGTCAAAGTGTCTCGTTATCAAAACTAGCGTTCTGGTGTGACTCGCGGTGGACATTCCACGTTCCTATGGCGGGGGCAGTCCGGCCATAGGATGGCCACCGTTGACTTCTCACAGATTTGTACTCATTTTATCAATCTGCAGAGGGATAAATCCCAGTAGGGATTTTAACTAACAGTCTTTGATGTTTGTGTATATATCCATGCATGGATAAACATGCATATACATGGAGCAGGCTCGTGAGGGATGCTACTGGACAGTTCGAAGCAGTCACCCTCCAATAACAACAGAGGGCAGAGGAGTGACTCTAAGCAACAACGATCGGAGCGCCGGGCAGCGAAAATGCAGCGAGTTGTCGCAATAGGTGGCACAGCTGGTGGATCGGCCAGTCATCTCAGTCGGTCAACCCATGGCACCTGGGTCTGTCCCGTGACCTCCTCTGTCAGCAGCAAGCCTTCGACACGTCACGTGGCCTCAAAGTGCAACCGGCCTGGCACAGGCTCCGTGGTGACGTCACCGCCACTTCGTGACTGTTGTTGTTGTGGTGGTATAAATATCAGAATTAGCGGGTCCAGTCTGCGAACCATTACACCACAGCGACGTCTGATGGCGCGGCAGTTAAAACAATGGGCACATTTATTAAATCCGCCCAGCCCCTGTCCACCCAATGGTATAGCAGTGGACATTAGATGTCACACGAAGTCATTTGCAAAGGAGTGCCATTGTGTCCACCCGCTTCATGCTACAAAATTAGACGAATAAAATTTTTTTACCCGCAAACAACTCAATGGGAATATACATCTGACAATGTGGTGCGAGTAAAGCATTTGACTCATAGCGTGCACGATTGTGCATTGTGTGAGTAAGGCATTCGTTTTGCTTTGTGTGTCAGTGTATTTTGTGTTATTAAGGCATTCGTTTTGCTTTGTGTGTCAGTGTATTTTGTGTTATTAAGGCATAAATTTCACGTTGTGTATTAGTGTATTAGTATCAATGCGCTCTGAGGTTCGCAATGCGTCCTGAGGTTAACAATGCGCTCAATGCTAGCCGTTTGCAGCCCCTGTAAAACCCTCAATTCCGATGTAACGTGCAACCGCGTGGTTGCTGCTGCTGTACGTATGTTTTTCGTTGAACTTCTTTCGCACCGTGCATAGCCAACCGTGCTAATCGGAGGTGCGGGATAGACGGTGCGTGGTGAACCTGTGGGTGGACAATGAGGAGGGTGATGTGACTCCGCTGTGTGCCCACAGCTGTCTCATGGAGCCCTGGACCCTGCGCTTTTCATGTCGCAGCCTCCGCCCTCTCTGGACTCCGTGTCGGTTCGTCAAACAAACGACCTCATCTCAGACCAGGTGGGTCTTGGCCCTGTGTGTGAAACGGTAGCCTATCGGGTTAGCCCATTGCGCTACGAACCCGGCGACCCGAGTGGTGGTGCTGGCCACCCACCCCCTCATGCGCCGTGCCGGTCTTCGTAAGTGCTCGCTCACAGCACTCGGCCCCAACAGTCTGTACAGGGAATGTTTGTGCTTGTGTGTGTGACTACGTGGTTGTGTATGACTGGGAGTGTGATTAGTGCACTGCTCTGAGATCCCGTGAGCCTCGACTTGTTTCTTTGTCATGTACAGCATTCGTGGCAAGTGATATCCAAACATGACCTGGGATTCCTTTGGGTTAACTCAACCCGAAATGAGCACCTTGTGCAACATCTGAAGACAAAGGGGGTTTGGTGCTGACCACATAAAGCCGGCCTTGTATGGTCACCTACCCCATCGTGTACCGTGCTGGCCTCAATAGGTGCTCACCAACAGCACTCATCCCTTTGGGCTATAATGCTAACTGTCTAATGAAATAAAGAACCGGATTTATCATGTGCAATGTAACCGTGTTTTGTGATGTCATTTTTTCTAGCAGGCTTTCGCTAACAGCTCTGCGTACCAAGGATATGGTTCAAGTCAGCTCCAAGCGTCATTTCAGGCTTCTCAAGATATGTTCCCCCAGCCTTTACCACTGGTACGTCATAACTCGCTCGCTCTGTTCGTCATAGCTTGCTCACTGGTACATCATAGCTCATTCGCTGGTACGTCATAGCTCACTGACTGGTACGTCATAACTCGCTCGCTCGGTACGTCATAACTCGCTCGCTCTGTTCATCAGCAAAATAACCCCCCTTCCTGCCACAGTCACCCCGAGGTTGTGAACAATGACGGTAACATCCTCTTTGGGACAATGCCCCCGTTACACTGTGGGTGTTTTATCACGGCATCTGTGCCCCTGGTCCAGTGGCCTAGAATGTGCTCCGCCTCGTCAGATAGACATGGACACAAACATTTGATTGAAGCCGGAAGGAACTCAATAAGGTTGTGGAAGCTCTCATTCACAGATGTTAAACTAAAATAAACTAGAGCTTACCAGGTAAGGTCTCACTGAGCTATTATAGCTATTTTTCAGAAGCGACCTGGCCACAAATGATAGCTCAACGAAGTGGATTCTCGCGTGGACATTTATAGCAGGCAAAAATATCCCAAACACATGTTTCAAAATGTGGAGGGAAAAACTGGAGGAACCGGAGAAAAATCCACTTCACCATGGGGAGAACGTACAAACTCCAAATATGCAGGCGTCAAGGGTCGGGATTGAACCCACGACCTCCTGTATACCAGGCGAGGTAGCTAACATCTCCCCACCGTGGTGCCCCCAAGCCTGGGTTGGCAATGGCGAAACATTTGAGGAAGTTACATTGCTAGGTAAATGAAACACTTGTACATGCACTGGACCAAAAAACAACAAATAACAGCAATAGTCAAACATACAAAGAAAGGGTAGATTAGACCCTTATATTCAGAGTTGCCAATCGCAATTACAAGTCACAGTTGCAAATGTGGTTGAAAGTTTACATCAATAACAATGGTAGAAGGCTGCTAGACTTCTGCGCAACCCATAGGCTTGTAATCGCCAACACACTGTTCCGGCATCGGCTCATCCACACAACATCACGGTTGCACGCCGGGTCCAAGCAAGAACTTGCCTGCTGGACTACAGTAACAGAACAGCGAATGTGGGCCCATGTCCTTGACACAAGCACCTTCAATGGGGTTGATCTGCCCATCGACCATTGGCATATTATCTGTAATTTTTGCCTGCCATACTCATACTGTGGTGGCAAGCATCCATCGTGGACACTATTCAAACCCATAATTGCCTGTTCTTGGCTCGCTGGTGAAGGTTGCAAGAGAAAATGTCATTGTCACTTGCGACTGGGGTTGGCATCGTCTCCCCCCCCTCCTGATGCCGAGGGGAAATGGGTTTTAGGACTGTGGCTCATGCAGCTGCAATGGCTGCATTGGGTACCGCGGTTTTGACTTTCCCAAAGGACCCCTGGCTGACAGAGGCGGTGTTCCGGCCAGCTGACAGAAAGCATGCAGCAACAAAGAAAATAGTCAAGGATAATATCACATCAGACTGGCATTTCCACAGGAACAATGTAATTCTTATCCACAGTAAAACCATTCATTTGCTTGGCACAACAATCTCATCTGACCTGTCAGTTACTAAACTGGCAAAGGAGGCATTGAGGAAGCTTGGATTTGTGTTCCGTGGCAAAGCCTTCGTATTTAACTCCGAACAGTTGTTACGGCTGCTTAAACAGAGCATAAGTTCAGCCCAAGTTGTAATCCTGCTGCTGTCACATCTGTGGTGGAGCATCCAGAGTCTAGCCGACTGCATCACTGGACTAGCCTTCAGTGTGAAGCAGCAGTGGAGAGGTGACTGAATTTCCAGCACTGCAGGGGCGGAGCCAGGATTTCAGGCCGGGTTGACATTCTATAAATTTTAATTTCAAGAATGATTAGAGAGTCAGGCTGTTGAACTAGACGCCATCGGTTGGCGACACACTCTGACAATGCAGTTGCACGGAGTCCGCCAGACCGAGTGTCGTACACTTACACGCAGAATGTGACCCCTGTCACCCCCCCTGGCTCCGCCCCTGCAGCACTGACTCACTCCAACCACTAGCTCACCGACGGTCAATCACCTCCTTATCACTCTTCTATCGCTACTACTACTATAGTATTTGTTCCAGAGAACTTCACTCATTGATTCCTCCACACGTGCTGAGATCTATCAAACACTTGTTTTTCTCCATCCACAGTGTTCAACAACCAAACTGCAGGTCACAACAACACTCGCCCACTCACCCACCCACTCACCACACTGAAGGTCACAACAACATCCCCACTCATAGCGCAGTGAGCTAACCACTGTACACGACCACAAAGACGAAGATCCCCCATAAAGTCTTAACAGGCTCTTGGGGCAAGTGCTGTTAGCGAGCAACTATGAAAAGGCTAGCACGGTACACGAGGGTGTGGGTGGCCAGTACCACGCCTGACCGCCTTTGTCTCCCCAATGGTGATATTTACACACCGCACCAGGTACTCATTTGAGGTTGAGTCGACCTAGGAGAGGCCCAGGACCGGTTCAGATAATCGTCACTGGCGTTAACCGTAAGCGGGACTCGAACTCGGGGCGCTGGGTTCATAGCGCCAGCTCGCGGACCGCTACACCACCGCTCCCCACACGCTCGCACGCCCACATGCCGTGCACATAGCACCACACGCACGGTAATCGCACTCGTACAGTGTGTACTCCCCCCCCCCCCCCCCCTCCCTGTCGTGTCGTTATAACGGGGTGCCTGGAGCTGTGGTTGGGCGGGGGATGGTCTGGGGATGTCATGTGAATCAGAGCCGGCAGTGTGTGCCGCCCGTGTTGTGTTTCCGGCCCACGTTGGCGGTGGGGAGTGTGCGGCGTGCGTGGTGCGAGCGGCGGAGGGGGGGGGCGGTCGTGGCGTGGAGGGCGTGGTTCTGCCGTTCGTGAACTGTCCAGCTTTGTTCTTGGCCCCGATCCTGCCGGTGTTTGTGGCCGGGATTTCTGAGAAGCCGGCGTTCGTCACGTTTACTCGGAACCGGCACCCCGCGGACGCCGCGTTCCGCGTTGCGTTGCCGGCTCTGAGACTCGGTGTGCCAGAGCAGAAATCTTCGCCACCTAAGATCCCAAAACTCTTATTCGTACCGATTCACGTTTGTGGATATTGCAATTTATATCTGCGTAGCGTCTAAATACTGCCGTGAACTCCAGACCCTCCGGAGCAAAAATAATTTGCTGCATGAACACAAATGAGTCTTAAGTCTTGACGTGAACTGGGGCAGAGGCTCAACTGCAAATGGAAGCAAAATTCCAGGCAATTAGTAGCAGATGTTGAGAAGGTAACGCCGGGTTGACTCTCTGGCCTCTTTGGGAAGGAGGCCTCTGTTTTCTGGAGCGGAGCGGTAACGAGCCCGGAGAGTTAACGAGCCCGGGGAGGTAACGAGCCCGGAGAGTCAAGTGAGATGAGAGGGGGAAGCAGGGGCAAGACCTCCGAGAATCTTTAAAAAACACAATCGCCTGGGTTATTGCGTAATTCATCGTTGTTGACCGCATCTAAACGTTGTTGTGGTTTGTGACCGCTGAAGCTGCGCCACCTCGGGTGTGGTACCGACGAGTGAGATACCTCGTGCGGGCTCACGGGCCGCTGCCTCGCGTACCCCGTTTCAAACACCGCTCCCGGCTTTGCTCGCCCCCCGCGGATAATGTGCACGGAGCGATCGAAAAGACGGCCGTCTCCCTCACGTTGGACAGCAGCGGGGCCCTTTGATGAGCCTGGGGGGGGGGGGGGGGCGGGGGTGGACGTCCAGACGCCTGAAACGCCGTCTCGGTGAACTTCGTGCCCCCTCAGCTCCCCCCCTCCCGCTTCGTAGCCGCTGAGAAAAGTTAAATCTCTTTCCTTACACGCGGAAACCGTTGACGTTCGTGGTGGAGGTGATGAGCTCTTACCCCTCTCCCCCCTCTCCCCCCTCCTTTGATCAGTTGAGCAGGGAGGCAATTTAACTTTTTGAAGAGGAAAAAAAAGAATTGTTGTCTTAACAATATGGGTAATGGAATATTTTAAGGAAACACCTAAGTTCTCCTCACTGCACTCGTACAGTGAGGGAAAAAAGTATTTGATCCCCTGCTGATTTTGTACGTTTGCCCACTGACAAAGAAATGATCAGTCTATAATTTTAATGGTAGTTTTATTTGAACAGTGAGAGACAGAATAACAACAAAAAAATCCAGAAAAACGCATGTCAAAATGTTATAAATTGATTTGCATTTTAATGAGGGAAATAAGTATTTGACCCCCTCTCAATCAGAAAGATTTCTGGCTCCCAGGTGTCTTTTATACAGGTAACGAGCTGAGATGGGGAGCGCACTCTTAAAGGGAGTGCTCCTAATCTCATCTTGTTACCTGTATAAAAGGCACCTGTCCACAGAAGCAATCAATCAATCAGATTCCAAACTCTCCACCATGGCCAAGACCAAAGAGCTCTCCAAGGATGTCAGGGACAAGATTGTAGACCTACACAAGGCTGGAATGGGCTACAAGACCATTGCCAAGCAGCTTGGTGAGAAGGTAACAACAGTTGGTGCGATTATTCGCAAATGGAAAAAACACAAGAACTGTCAATCTCCCTCGGCCTGGGGCTCCATGCAAGATCTCACCTCGTGGAGTTGCAATGATCATGAGAACGGTGAGGAATCAGCCCAGAACTACACGGGAGGATCTTGTCAATGATCTCAAGGCAGCTGGGACCATAGTCACCAAGAAAACAATTGGTAACACACTACGCCGTGAAGGACTGAAATTCTGCAGCGCCCGCAAGGTTCCCCTGCTCAAGAAAGCACATATACATGCCCGTCTGAAGTTTGCCAATGAACATCTGAATGATTCAGAGGACAACTGGGTGAAAGTGTTGTGGTCAGATGAGACCAAAATGGAGCTCTTTGGCATCAACTCAACTTGCCGTGTTTGGAGGAGGAGGAATGCTGCCTATGACCCCAAGAACACCATCCCCACCGTCAAACATGGAGGGGTAAACATTATCCTTTGGGGGTTTTTTTCTGCTAAGGGGACAGGACAACTTCACCGCATCAAAGGGACGATGGACGGGGCCATGTACCGTCCGATTTTGGGTGAGAACCTCCTTCCCTCAGCCAGGGCTTTGAAAATGGATCGTGGATGGGTATTCCAGCATGACAATGACCCAAAACACACGGCCAAGGCAACAAAGGAGTGGCTCAAGAAGAAGCACATTAAGGCCCTGGAGTGGCCTAGCCAGTCTCCAGACCTTAATCCCATAGAAAATCTGTGGAGGGAGCTGAAGGTTCGAGTTGCCAAACGTCAACCTCGAAACCTTAATGACTTGGAGAAGATCTGCAAAGAGGAGTGGGACAACATCCCTCCTGAGATGTGTGCAAACCTTGTGGCCAACTACAAGACACGCCTGACCTCTGTGATTGCCAACAAGGGTTTTGCCACCAAGTACTAAGTCATGTTTTGCAGAGGGGTCAAATACTTATTTCCCTAATTAAAATGCAAATCAATTTATCACATTTTTGACATGCGTTTTTCTGGATTTTTTTGTTGTTATTTTGTGTCTCACTGTTCAAATTAACCTACCATTAAAATTATAAACTGATCATTTCTTTGTCAGTGGGCAAACGTACAAAATCAGCAGGGGATCAAATACTTTTTTCCCTCGCTGTAGACGTCGTGTTTCAGGAATATCATCTGAACTGGCCATTACGAGCCTCCGCGTACACCTGACACCATCTCATTTAAAAAATAACGGGACTACAACTGCTGTTTATTTTAAATCTGAACGAACATTACTCCAGCTATTTCCAGTTCTGTGCTCTATCAAATGCCAGGCGGTTATGATAATAGAACTGCGGCCGATGGAAGCCCCGAAGACGTGTGTGTGTGTGTTTCGCTAACGGTGGACGTAGCCACACCCGCAGGGGCACCGGCGGCGGTTCTCCCAGTGGGCCTGCAGCGACGCGAACGCGGACCAGTGGGGTGAAATCCTTCACAGCTTCAATTCCTTTTTGGGTTGAATTCCTTGAATTTGTTTATTTGAATTGCCGAGAGGGTTTTCGGAGAACTTGCACCGACACGTGCTTCACATTAATACAAGAAAAAAATAACTGCGGCGGCGAAAGTGAAATGGCAATACGAAGCCGTGTCTCGCCGCACACAACGAGCAGTCGGTTATCTCCCGCGCCTCCGCTTGCCACGGTTGGCTAGGTACAGCGCGAAAGAAGTTCAACGTACGTGCATGTCGTACAATCGGTCAGCGCTCCCCTGCTTGTGGCGCCAGCGGTGGAAACCCTGCGGTCCGACGGAGGGGAGCCAGTCGCGCGCCAATCGGGATTTGCGAGAAACCGAGCAAAGGGCGAACGCTGTCGCGTTTGCGTGTGTGTTTTGAAACGCGTATATGTACATTTTTTGTTGTTGTTAGGTGGTGGAAAAGGAGGAAGAGGTGGAGGAGGATGACGCTGACGGGGAGGATCTGGGCCACGCGGCGACGTACGCCGATTACACGCCGGCCAAACGTACGCGAGGAATCGCCGCGAGCGGCGCTGTTTGCGGTTTACTGCGGGATTTGTGTGTTTTTTTTCGTGCTTTTGTTTCCCAGTTATAATCGGGTCGTACGATTGGAACTGTCGTAAGACGGGAGTAACTTCCGTTAGGAGTGACGAGATGTTGACTACCTCGCCTGGTATGCAGGAGGTCGCCAGTTCGATCCCGACCCTTGACGCCTGCTGTATATGTGGAGTTTGTGTCTCTCTCTCTCCCCCGTGGTCGCGTGTATTTTTTGTGGCCGGGATTTCTACGTGACTTTACCGAAAGACCCAAAGAATACGAATTCCTGCAGTCACGAAAGCCTTAAGTCAAGGTTTTATTTACTTCAGCAGACAGGGCCCAATGAGCTGCTACGCTCTATTTCATAGACATCCTGTGACGGTACAGATGTTACACAGTACAGATCTTACTTAGTCATTGTTGCATAGGTTGCGATACAACACGGCAGGTATCAAGTACATAATAAGGATAATATAATCGGTTATTTATCCTGGAAAACCCACCCCGAGTCCAAGCATTCTTTTTTCATCAAGGTCCTGCATTGGGTTTTTATCTTGGATGTTTTCAGCCAATTTACGATGAGTGTTTAAAGGTGTGGGATGAAACCCGAGTAGCCGGAGATAACCCACGCACGCATGAACGCGCGCACGCATGCACTGATGCCTGCCAAGCACACGCTGGGCTGGGTTCAGAGATCAAACAGTGGCCGATGGAAACCAGAACGCAGGTTGGACTTGTCAACACGGGCCTAAATAGTATGTCACGTGGCAAGAAAGCTGGCAGTTTTGATCCTCAGAGCTGTGATATAGCCTGATTAGACTGTTTTTTTGTGTGTGCAGTTATCGATGACCAGGCTCAGACCTTTAGGTCGATATACTTGTGGGGATCCACTTTAGTTGAACACGTAGGCTTTCGAAACGTCGTACTCAAATCGTAAATGTGTACTCTCCAATACACCAGTGTGCTGAACGAGTAACTAATTGACACGTTTTTAAAGTGACAAACTTTCCTAATTGGCTGTGTCGGGCGGTGGCGAGTAACGACACATTCTCGTGATCTCACCCATTTTTTTTTTATTATGGACCCAGTTTAGTTACGGGTCGATGAAAGTAGATTCAAAATCTCAGGGATTTCCAACTTCACAATTGAGCACCGTGAGATAGGGAAACACCCAGTCGTAGGCCTCGAACCTAGAATATCTGTGCTGCTTCTGTGGCCGGAGAGTGCGATCCAAACGTGAACTTGGTGTTCAGGTAGCGCATTATGAACCCCCCTGAGAGAGGGAGAGAGAGACACACGGAGACGTCGACTCGCTGTGTCATGACACGGAGACGTCGAGGCTCACGAGTGGACGTCTCTCGCCTCTCTCTCCAGTGTCCATCGGGCGCAACCATCCGGACCGCGTGGTGGAGACGAGCACGCTGTCCAGCGTGCCGCTCCCCGACATCACCTACCACCTGCACATGCCCGACTACGCCATCTCCAGCGGCAAGCTCTCCGCCCTGCAGCTCGAGGCCATCACCTACTCCTGCCAGGTGCCACTCTACCTCCCCTCCACCTCTCCGCCTCCCCTCCACCCCTCCTCCGCCTCCCTCTCCGCCTCCCCTCCTCCGCCTCCTCCACCTCCCCTCCTCCGCCTCCTCCACCTCCCCTCCGCCTCCCCTTCACCGCCCTGCCACCTCCTCTCCATCCCCCCCTCTACCTCCCCCTCCACCCACTGTCAGGTCAACCCTAACAGGCTTCTGTGCTGACTCTGAGCCCCCGTCTCCTCCGCCACGTCTCTGTCTGTCTCCGCTTCGCCCCTGCGATGTCACGCGGGTGACGTGTCCGTCCGCGTGTCCCTGTCTGTGCGTTGTTTTCAGCGGCATGAGAGCATCCTTCCCAATGGGCAGCGTGCGGGCTTCCTGATCGGAGACGGAGCCGGAGTTGGTAAAGGCCGCACCGTCGCTGGAATCATCCTGGAAAACTACTGCTGCGGGCGGAAGAAAGCGCTCTGGTGCGTGCAACAACTACAGCTGTCGTTCGCCACTAAGTGGTGGTGACGTTACCAAAGCTGCTGTGCCAGGCCAGGTGCACTTTGAGGCTTCAAAGTGCACCTGGGGTGCACACACACACACACACGCGCGTGCACATGCGCGCGTGTGTGTGTGCACAGCCTCGCACATTTACGAGCTCGTGTGCTCGCACACACTTGCAAACTTGTGACTACATGCTAACACACTAGTAAACAAGACGAAGATCCCCCGTATAGCATTACCAGACTGTTGGGGCGCTAACCACTGCACCACCGCTCCCCACAACACATTCATACACACCAACACACGCGCGGACCCACTCCAGATCAACGCACTCGTTAGCCATACGCCTCCAAATGCTCTCCAAGTCATCGCCTTCGGTTGCACCAGAGGGGGAGGGAGTTACGGAATCTGCCCCTGCGTTGTGCGTGCAGGTTCAGTGTCTCCAACGACCTCAAGTACGACGCCGAGAGAGATCTGAACGACATCGGAGCTCGCAGCATCCCCGTGCACAGCCTCAACAAGGTGCGTCGTGACCACCGCGGACTCAATAACCCCCCCCCGCCCGCACGCGGTTCGCGTCGTTCCGCGCGTGTCGTCTGACGTTTCGAGCCACGCCTCGGGAGTTTCTTCGGGGAAAACCCAATTAAGTTGCCGCGACAGACCGAAGAAATGCCCAGAGTGAAACTTTGGACATACACTGTGGCGCTGAAAGGCCCGATAATACTTAGGAGAGCTATGCGGGATAACCGCAAAACACCAGTGCAGAAGTGTGGCACAGGGACGAGTAACCGTAATTTTTGTTGTGGTCATTTGCTTACCTTTCCTATACTTTGCACTTCAATTGTTGTTTTTCTAATGCTTGTTGTTGAACTTAGATTATTTACATTATTTGGCCACTATAAATTTCCACGCGATAAGCCACTTCGTTGAGCTGTCATTTGTCGCCAGGTCGCTTCTGAAATAAAAATAGTATTTTTTTGTCATTTTTTTACCTTTCCTATGTTTTGCACTCCTATCGTGTTTTTGTACTGCAAGATTCTGACCCGCCCCTACTGGACATCTGATGAAAACGAGCTGTATAGCTCATTGGAGGGCCTGTGACCATATTCTTGGTTCTTTCGGTAAAGTCACGTAGAAGGGAAACAATAAAATAATAAAAATATAAAACAATAAAATTCTCACGACGTTTCGTCTGCAACACAAGCAATCATCGTCAGGTGTGAAAACCACCTGATGGTGATTGCTTGTGTTGCAATCGAAACGTCGTGAGAATTTTATTGTTTTATATTTTTATTATTTTATTGTTTCCCTTCTACTTGACTTTACCGAAAGAACGAAGAATATGAAGGCCTGTGACCAGTTCACCCCGAATTTGCCCGATTTGTATCCCAGAAGCTCGGCAGGATTAATGCTGAGGGGCAGCTGTGGTTGGCAGTGTAGTGAAAAGACATTGTCATTTGGTACATGTATCCTTCTGCATTGGTGTTTCCCGGTGCTTCATCAAACTTAACTGAGCACTGTGGCAAAGTATGGTTAAACCATCTTGATGACCGTCACGGTATTGAGAGTCTTTCATTCAGCGGTGGATTTACAAAGGGCTAAATACGATTTAAACAACAACAACAAAAACCCCAAGCTTTCAAATACACAAGTGAAACTGCCAGTTTTAAGTGTCCGTATCGATGTGACGCTGCAGACCTTGTGTCATAGGAGGTCGGATAATTCCCAATCCGTGAGTTCGGCAGCTGAATGAGCGTCTTCACACCACGCCGTACGTTTTTTTTTTCCCGACCGTTGACGCCTCCTCCTCTGCACCACACAGATAAAGTACGGCAGCACGGATCGGCGGATGCGGGAGGGCGTCCTCTTCGCCACGTACTCGGCGCTCATCGGCGAGAGCTTCGCCACGGGCACCATGCGCACGCGCATCAAGCAGGTGCTTGACTGGTGCGGGCCCGAGTTTGACGGAGTCGTATCCTCTTTGCCGCCGAGACCCCGTCGCGCGACTTGCGAGCGCACGCCGCAAGAGACCCCCCCCCCCCCCACGCCGCGGTGCAACCCCTCCTCCCCCCGGACGTCTACTTCCACGTGTCCGGAACGGGGCGGTGTTTGGTGGAATTCTTTTATTTGGTTTCTTTTTGGGTTTGGGCCGCGTGACGATCTGGCCAAATTTGTGTCGAAAACAAAAACCCCTCCGCGACTCGACACTGTGAAGCTAATTCAGTCGTCGCGTGGTGTTACCAGCGTTTACCGACGCACCTTTGATAGTATTTAGCTGCTCTAAATTTTCACGTGACAAGCCGCTTCGTTGGGCTATCATTTGTGGCCAGGTCACTTCTGAAAAAGAGCGTATGCTCGTGCGCCCATCGACGCGAGGTCGCTGGTTTCCCCATTGCTTTCGCTCGGGGTTAAAATCTCCCCGCGGCACGGGAGGCGGTCGCGGTTCAGCGGCGCTCGGCCCCAGCCCCCCCCACAGCCGTGCGCGGCCGCCCCGTTTCTCGCCGTGCGTCCCCCTGGATTCCTTGACCGAGCGGGCCCACAGGTGGTGTTCGACGAGTGTCACAAGGCGAAGAACCTGTGCCCCGTGGGAGCCGCCAAGCCCACCAAGACGGGCAAGGCCGTGCTGGACCTGCAGAACAAGCTGCCGCACGCCCGCGTCGTCTACGCCAGCGCCACAGGTGACCGCGGCGCCGCTGCCGCACTTACTACTTTTTAAAAATATGTTATTATTCCTAGAGCCCAATGCAGAACGCTCACGTCGGGAAGGGAAACGCACAAGTCGCTTGCGAGCGAAAAACCCGGGGCCAGGTCCCCTCAGAATGGGTAACTCGGCTCACTGGCCTTCTCCCCTTGAGGCAACGATCGGGGACAGAATATGTTTAAGGAAGGGCGAGAGGATGGTGTTCTTTGCTGAACTTTTCCCAAATTCTTATTCTTCGGGGCGTTTCCCCGCCGATGTGGAGTCTGCCTTCCTGGTCCTCTCTTATTCCCCATTCCTTCCCCCGAGTCGTCGTGTTCACGGCCACTCCGCGGACGAGGAAAGATCTGCCTTCCTCGTCCTCTTTGTCTCCGCTCGTTCGGCCGCTGGGCCATATTCACGTCTGGGAGACGCATCCAGCTGCGCACCGCTGTCACGAGTAGACCGCGGCCGGAGCGTATCGATGAGTTCCCAACGAGAGTGTAACCGTGCGTGTCTCGCTTACTGCACTATGGTGGCCGAAACGTCCAGTGGAATTATTTCGGCGAAGTCCTCTTCATAAAATTCACATTGGTCAACACAGCGCCTTGCAGCCTGCTGCTGTTTTTGTGCTCTCCCAGACACCGCGTTTGGGCCCCATGGTGTTTGAGGATGGCTTTTGCCTCTAAAACCAGTGGCATTAAGTCAGTGGACCACACCCTGCTAATGAGATTCGGATGTCAATACCTTGTTCGAACAAACACTGCTGGTTAATAGACTGAAATGTTATATTGTTTCAGCAAGGAAACAGAAGTCTCCCATGTATAATTATCAGTTGCTTTATTGAAAAGTTAAGGTTTCATCTGCAAGCATTGACTCAGAATTCGCATCTCTCGGCAGCATTATTGATGGTGTTTAGCTCTGCCCTGCTGTCCTGGAGCTCCTCCCTGTACCATGTAGACCCTCCCTTTGACTTTTAGCCCCTCCCACTGCCCCATAGACCATCCCCTTATCCCATAGCCCCACCCTTTTTCTGTGGCTGGACCTCCCTGTCGTGTGGCCCCACCCCATGCCCTGCAGCCACACCCCAAGTCCTTTAGCCACCACCCCCCGCCCTGTAGCCACACCCCCCGCCCTGTAGTCACACCCCCCGCCCTGTAGTCACACCCCCCGCCCTGTAGTCACACCCCCCGCCCTGTAGCCACACCCCCCGCCCTGTAGTCACACCCCCTGCCATGTGGTCACACCCCCTTCCAAGTAGCCACATCCTCAACCTTGTAGACCCACCCCACTCAGAAATGCCGAGTTACCGATTGTTCACTGTCCACCTTGGTGAAGCTGTGGGAGGAGGATGTCGCTATTCCAGCGACATCCTCCCGCAAGTTCACGTACGCGGATGATATTGCGCTGCCAACCCAAGCCCGGCCGATGGAGCACACTGATAGAGCCTTTGGGGAAAAAAAAAAGATCTTAAGACTCCAGAAGCAAACTTGAATAATTGGCACCTTAAACAAAAACAATTATCCAAGAGCGTCGTCTCCATCTAGCACCTGAAGAAGAAGACTGGGCAGTCTTAGCCAGGACACAGCACCACGTGCAGCGATGGGCAGGCTTGAGAGAGAGGAGAGCTGTGCCTCGGCTATGCTGTAGCCGGTGCCCAGACTGCAGAGAGGATAGTGATACATGCAGGCTGGCTGGCTTTTAAAAAAAATTACATTTCCCAGTCTAATTAACTCGACCAGTCAGTGGAGTTACGTTTCCGGAACCTGTGGACATCACCGCACAGCCGGATTATTTAGGATACGGGGTGGGGGGGGAGGCAGAATACAATGCAGAACATCACCCGCTCACCCCCCCCCCCGCCCCCCGTTAGAGCAGCGGAAGTGGAATGGAACGCAGGCGGGGGAAGGTGCGAGTGTGATATTAAGTGTGTGTGCGTCTGTCTCTTCCACTAGGTGCATCTGAGCCGAAGAACATGGCGTACATGAGCCGTCTCGGAATCTGGGGGAAGGACACTCCCTTCAACACCTTCGATGAGTTCCTGCAGTCGATTGAGAGGAGGTAGGGAATGAAAGCTGTCTATGTCACTCAGCCACACAATACAATCTGGCATTCGGTCTGCTAGTTTTTGTAATATTGAATATTAAGAGAGCTGTTTTAAAAGTCAAAAGGTGTTCCTGAGTAAATGAGCAATGTACAGCCCACCTGTAGGTTGACTGAGCCTTAAATGAGGACCTCCCATGGTGTGTGTGAACATCAGCACCGGTGAGCTGTCAGGAGTGTTGGTGACCACACCCACGGCCTCCTCATGGGTGCTGTACTGGCCTGAATAATACGTGCTCGCTAACAACACTTGGCCCCAGTAGCGTAGCGTTGTTGGCATGGGCCCTGTGTATTAATGGATTCGGGGGGGGCTCCCTGTTCCTCTTTCCGCACCCCCCTCCTCCCCCCTGGTCCCTTCTGGCCCGTGGGCCCCGTTGCAGCTGCACCGCCTGCACAGTTTGCTCGATAGCTGCGCATCATTAGGCTGAGCATCTCCACGTGCGTGCGCGCGCCAGTGTTGATGACCTTTCGTGTTGGGCCGTGTCAGGGGCGTCGGCGGGATGGAGATCGTGGCGATGGACATGAAGCTGAGCGGGATGTACATCGCCCGTCAGCTCAGCTTCCACGGCGTCACCTTCCGCGTGGTGGAGATTCCGCTGCCAGAGCAGTTCCGAAACGTGTACGACCGTGCGGTCAAGCTGGTGAGCGAGAGAGCGCACGACAGCAATGCTCCCTGGCGGGTCCGTCTCGCACAGATTCCGTCGATTGAGGCGCGGGAAGCCGAGTACGGTCGACTCAACCTCAAATGAGTGCCCGGTGTGGTGTGTAAACATCAGCACTAGAAAGACAAAGGTGGCCGAGCGTTGTGCTGGAAACCCAGCAACCCCTTGTGTGCGGTGCCGGCCTTCATAGGCACTCACTCACACCACTTGCCCCAACGGTCTGTAAAGGCAATACGGTGGAGGTTCTTTTGTCTTTCATAATAAAGTTTTTATTTGTATTTACATGATCTAATACAAAAAACCTTCATTGTTAATAATATTGGTCGCGAAGGCCTACGTGTTTAAGTTGTTTGTCTTTGCCTTGCAGTGGCTGGAGATGATGGACAAGTTTGACCGCGCGGCCAGCGTCTGCCCGGACGTGTCGCGCAAGTCGCTGTGGGGTCAGTTCTGGTCGTCGCACCAGCGGTTCTTCAAGTACATGTGCATCGCGGGCAAAGTTCAGCAAGCGGTCACCCTGGCGCATGAGGCGCTCAAGCAGGGCAAGGTGAGCCACGTGGTTAAGCGCTCGGCCCAACAACGCTGTGTACACCCGGCGTGGGATTGTTGTGTTGAGAATTTACATTGTACACTAGCTTTACGACCCGGCTTCGCCCGAGACTTGGATTCTTGTCTTGGATTAATACACGGCCTACGCGGAGGGTTGGGGTGGGGGGATGCGTGACGTCAGCGGGCACACTGCGTGACGCTGCCACATGCGGGTGACATCACAGATGTGACGTCACCGCTCACTTGCCGTGCAAAATATACCCATTATTGCGCACACCCCCCCCCCCCCCCCCAATACAAAAGTGTATTTTTATAATGTGTGCATGGTGTACAGTCTGGAAAGTACCCACATGGCAAATTTCAAGTTTGTTGCATGTCGGCAAGTACGCTAAACATTTTAAACATACACACATTCACAAATTTCCCTTTTATATATATAGAGATAACCGGGCGAACAACTTTCACGTGAAGAAAGACAACGATCTCCTGTATAGCCTGAACAGACTTTTGGGGCAAGTGCTGTTAGTGAGCACCTACGAAGGCCGGCACGGCACGCGAGAGGGGGTGGGTTGGCCAATGCCATGCTCGACCGCCTTTGTCTCCCTCGTCGCGACGTGAACACATCGCACCAGGTACTCATTTGAGGCTGAGTCGACCTAGGGGAGTCCCAGGACCGGTTCAGATAATCGTCACTGGTGTTGGCCGTGAGCGGGAATCGAACTCCAGTCGCCGGGTTCGTAGCGCCAGCTCGCTGACTGCTACACCACCGCTCCCCACACGCTCGCACGCCCACATGCCATGCGCATAGCACCACACGCACGGTAATCGCACTCGTACAGTGCGCTAACCGCAACACAAACACAGCACATTGGTATATTTTGGAGCAGGTCGTATTGATCTGCCAGTCATCTCAGCCAGTTAACCCATTGACCTCGTGCTTGCGAGCATTCCCCACTCCACCTGCGAGCCCCAAAGCGTACCTTGCCTGGCACAGTTGTCCCTTGATGGCGCTTGCCGATGATGACGTTGTCGCGTGCTGCGTGTGCGCGACGACAGTGCGTGGTGATCGGACTGCAGTCGACCGGTGAGGCACGCACCCGGGAGGAGTTGGAGCTCGGAAACGGGACGATCGACAAGTTCGTTTCGGCAGCTGGGTACGAACTCGCAACCTACACCGTCGGTTTAACGTGTCGACAAGATCGAGGCTTCGTTACGACCGAAGCCGTAGATTCCACACCCGCACCCCCTCCGCCAGATCTCACAGCAGTTGCTGCACAGTAGACACGCAGCGTCCTCCGACATCTGTTGTGACAGCCCTCCCACCGTGTGCTCTTCAGGTCTTCTCTTCCTCACAGTCGTCAGACTCATAGAGACAACTCCAATGCCCGTGCCGACAACGGCAGCCAATTCGTACCGAATTATAGATCGTGCTCAAAAAGTCCACAACGTCTGTAAAGTGATTTAATATCCGACACGCATCATCAGCGTCAGCCATTGTCTATCCATTGCTGGTCGAATGCGCCCCCTATCTCTTAACCGTCTCTCACGGTCCAGTGATGCTAGCATCAATATGTTTGAACTTCCTTCGCACCATACGTAGACAACCATGCTAATTGGAGGTGCGGGGGAAGGACAACAAACTAAACACAAAAAGCAGTTCCTAATGATAACAATGAATAACCACAGTGCTGGATGACTAGAGGCAGCTGTGTGCAGCAGCGTAGCCACAGCAATGACGAAAATTCCTAATGATCTAAAAAATTCCACCACCAGCAGCCTCGTCCGATGGATATCGACACGTCCTGCCCACGTGTCATGCCCAATCCCATTTGCCTTCTTCGATTGTCTATAGGGATGTCTCTGATATCTGTGTAGGTACAGAAAGAACGTAAGAATTCAATTGAAAAAATATTAAAATAAGTATTATTGTTATTGTGTTATTTTATTTTATCAATTTATTATTTTATTCTCATTCTACGTGACTTTACCGAAAGAACCAAAGAAGATGAATCATTGCAGTCACGAAAGCTTTAAATCGAAATTTAAGTATTATTGTAATCTAATTAAATTATTCCTGCCGTTGTCCCAAGGTTTATTGAGGGTTTTCACAGATAGACTTGGTTTTTCTAGCACAGTGTGTTTAAAAAGAGTAGAAGTCAGATGACTGGGAAGTGACAGGCATGTCTACGAGTCTATGCCGGATCTTGAAGATGCTGAATACGATCTTGAAGTTGATTTAATATTGGATTTTTGAAGGTGGTGTGTGTGCGCGTGCTGTACAGTTTACATAGATAACCAGCAGGAGGGAATTCCAGGCCTACAGGGGGCACCAGAGGGGGGTTGAATGTGGGGGGAGGGAGTCTCAAATGAAAATAATGAACGATCTCGGCCTGGTCACCAGCGACCACGCGCGAGACACCTCGGTCTCTTCTGAACGTCACCGTGTGCTTTTGCTTCCTTTCGCTGCAGTGGAGTCCTCAAGGCTCTGATCAAGAAGAATTTCCCGAGCGGAAAAGCCAGAGTACGAGCCGCACCCAAGAGGATAATAAGTAAGACCCCTGGCGCAGTGTGACACGCACCGTCGCACCCACCACGCACCGCAGGGCCACCGAGACATTTGCCAACGCCGTTGATTTGACAGCTGGATCAGTGCCGTCAGGGCCAGCGTCACACGCGAGAGGTGGTGGTGCATGGTCGGTGCCAGCACCACCACCGGTGCTTTTATTGACTTGCCGGAAGAGGTATTTATTTCTGGCTGAGTGGACTAAGTGGTGTTTCCTGAGCCAGTGGTGGAAATTGCCCATTGCTTTAGTTAGGGATCAGTCTTGACTGTAAGGCTACCACTGTTGACTCTGAAAAGCAGTTCTCATTTTATCCACCTTGGCAAAATGATGATGATGGGCCAAGGCAAACCGTGACCGGAATTTTAAACCACGTGTAAATCAGGTTGCTATAACGACATCGCAGCCAATATGGGTGGAAAAGACACGCATCTTTGTCGGAAGCCCTGAACCAGTTGTGGAAATTCCACATTCCTCTTACAGAAATGATTATATAGGACAGATTTTTTTTTTTTTACCAAATTGGTACCAGTTTATGTTACGTGGCAGTCTTTGCAGTGAGAATAGAATAATTTTCTTTCAAAGTCGCACCTATTTTAGGGACCATTAAGGGATGAACACTTGCTTGACAAGGTCATACGATAGTTTGTTTAATAATATATTTTATATTTTACCCCACTGTATTTGAACCATATCTCATACTTTATCCATATAAATAGATGTCCACTTAAAATATAATGCGGTATCATTCTAGAAAACAAAACGGAGGTGAGTCTTATGTTCGGTGAAGCTGAGGGAACCTGCAAACGAACTACATACACGGGGGAGGAGGTTTGTTTTGAGGTTTCCCTGCTGCACAGGAAGCACATGGCAAAGCCCATGGACCACCGTTTGGGACCGGGCCCTTCGTGAAGGCTTTCAAAAGGTAAAAGGCCACAGACCCCGCCGATTGCTTTGCTCACGCCGCTGCTCGTGGAAGGGGGGGGCCTTAACGTGAACGAATTCTAGACGGTCTTTGATCTCCTCTTCCACGTTGACCAGACGTGTTGGAAGAGGTGGGCCCTACCCACGCTTTTCCCCCCCACCTTGCCCCCACGTTGCTGCGCCCCCACCACCGCACACGTCCCTACCTGTGCCGTAGTGATTTATACTGCCCGGTGGAACAAGGCGGCAGGGGCCTTGGGAAGGGGGGAGCTTTTAGAACCTTGCACCGTCGTTTCACTGCCGAGCCGGAAGAAGGAATCAAACCGGTGACTTCTGATTCGCAAGTTCTGTGGTGGGGAGCTGGCCATTACGCCGCTCCGTGGCTGCTCCTGTGAAGGCATCCGATGCGGTTTCGATTTTTCTAAAGCATTTAAATGTGAACACATGTCGAGGATGCGGCTTTGGAAAGGGGAGGAATTCTTACTGCTTATTTTCTTAGGACAGGAGTGTGCAGATGCGTGCAGCAAGGCAGACATGAAACGAAGACGGCTCAATGGTGAGGAGTGACCCCAAGACACCGCACAGTGAAGACCGTGCCGGCCAGAGGCAGAAACGCGATGACGACGTCACCTCCTTAAAGCCCCTTGGCCGATCAACCACATCGCCAGGCCTGCCTGCTTGACTCTGTAGAGCCGAGATATCCCATCTATTAAGTCATCGATGACTCAACAGGGTTATCGATGACCAGACTAATCGGACAACGTGAACATAGTTGTGAGTAGTTAAAAAAAGAAAAGAGCAAGCCCCTCTCTCGCCTCTGTTCTGCTCCCACGTCTGTGTGTTTGTGTGCGCCGCTAGAAGTGGGGAGCGGTGGTGTAGCGGTTAGCGCGCTGCGCTACGAACCTGGCGATCTGGGTTCGATTCCCGCTCACGGCCAACACCGGTGACGATAATCTGAACCGGTCCTGGGCCTCCCCTAGGTCGACTCAGCATCAAATGAGTACCTGGTGCGAATTGTTAACATCGTCATGGGGGAGACAAAGGCGGTCGGGCGTGGTGCTGGCCACCCACCCCCTCGTGTACCGTTCCGGCCTTCATAGGTGCTCGCTAACAGCACTTTCCCCAACAGTCTGTTAAGGCTACACGGGGGATCTTTGTCTTTGCCGCTAGAAGGGTGGCGTCGTCGACATCTTCGTCGTCGTCGTCGTCGCGCTGGGCACCGGCTTGCGTGGCGGGGGTGGGGGGGGGGGTCCTTGCCTTCAGGAGGAAGTCGGGGCGACAGCCGTTTTTAAAGGGGGGGCCAAGGGATCGAAGGCACGCTCTAGTACGATTCATCAACACAATAGACCCACCGTCCCAGACGACGGGGGTGGTGACACAGCTGAGCGGTGGCGCCATTGCCGTTTGTTGTAGGGGTTTACTGTTCAAGCCCTCGGCCCGCCCCGGTTAATACTGCGGGCGTATTAATTGTGAAATATGTTCCGTCCGCTTCGCGGTGGACGTTCGAGATTGCGTGACGGTCCACATTTGAAAAGCGATGTGAAAATCTACCCAATTGGAAAAATCGAAGTCAGCCGACTTCACGGGGCTAAAAAAGATCTCCTCTCCGAGACGCGCGCACGTCGCATGCCGGGGCGCAACACAAACGGCTGGTTTGTTTTTGCCTTGTCCCTCCCCGCCCCCCCCCACTCCCGGCTGCACCAATCAGAGCGGTGCGGCAGGAAGGGGAAGCTGGCGCGGCTGAAGGAGGGCGCCTCGGCCACCACCGTCACGCCGGCCATGGCGGCCCTGCTGGGCTGCCCGCAGGCCCGGGACAGCGACGACAGCGGCCTGGAGTTCCGCAGCGAGGGCGAGAGCGACGACGGCGGCGCCACCGCGTCTCCGCTGCCGCTGGGCGCGGCGCCGCCGCCCCCGCTGGCGATGCCGCCGTTCGGCTCGGCGACGTCCGCGGCGGCGGCCATGATGAACGCGTTCCGTACGGCGTCCGCGCAGCAGGAGAACGGGGGGCGGACCATCAAGGTGGAGGAGGAGGAGGACGACGACGACGACGACGTCATCATCATCACGCCGGAAGACCCCGCGCGAGCCATGACGTCCGCGGCTGCCGTCCCCATTGACTACACGGGTGAGACGGGGCACCGGCGCCACGGTCGCATTTTGCTGGCGTTCGCTTGTGCATATGTACGTACTGCGTGTTGAACTTGTTTCGCGCCGTACGTAGCCAACCGTGCTAATGGGAGGTGCGGGGGGAAGGACAGCAAACTAAACACATAACGTAGTTCTGAAGAAATCATGCGTGTTTTTTTTTACTTTCGCACCGTACGTAACCAACCGGGCTACAGCTGGAGAGACAAAGGCAGCTGAGGGACATCCCCATGGTGCAGGCCACACTGCCCCCATCGAGTGGTGTTCCAGCCTTAATAGAAGTTCGCAAACACTACTTGCCACCTACAGGCCTTGTGAATTATGCCGTAAAATATGAAGAAACATCGTGATTGATCATTGGCTGAAAAACTACGGTGGCCATTGCAGTGTGGAGAAAGGGTAGATCACAACGAATCCCTTCTCCCATCCGTAAATGTGTCACGTGTATCTTTTGGTAGCAGCAGTTATCACGCAGTATTCCCTGCTGCGTTGAAAAAACAATCCATATGTACGGTGAACTTCTTTCCCACCATACGTATTGCCAACCGCACTTCTCGGAGGTGCGGGGGAAGGACCACAAACTAAACTCATATAAGCAGTTCTAAAGAAATACTTTTCAATCTAGATTTTTTTTTTAAAGTGCATAGCTCCAATGGCTTCCAGATATCGGAAGGAAGAGTGTTCCGAACGGCCGCAGAAACAGCGCATCTGAAAGCGCCCCGTGATGCGGTGGCCACCTTCTTTGTTCGACGGCCGGCCAAAAGCCGCCGCTGCTGCTACTAGGACGACGGGTTTTTGGCCCAGGCTTTCCCCGGCCGTTTTGTATCCTCGCCCACCATGCCTCGGGCCCCCCCGCGAGAGAGGGCCACGCAGCGGGTTGCAAGCGCGCGAGTCGTGCCGCCCTCCCTAGTGCTGCCCGCGTGCTGGTGCTGCCGCTGCTGCCCGTCCCCAGTCAGTCTTTGTTTAGACTGCAGGAGCAATCGCGATGAGCATTGAAGCTCTTTTTTCACAGACGGTCCAGTATGGGCACGGGGTCAGCGAGTTACAAGAGCAAACGATAGCAACAAAAAAACGATAGGAGTGCAAAACAGCAAAAATGGTGAGGAAGTCGCGAATAAAAATGAATAAATCCTCCCTGAAAACTCACCTCTAATAAAATGGCCCTTTCCCAGAAGTTTTGATCGTTTACCGCTGGCTCTGTCTTATTTCCTGCTTTCCATACACGGCATCGCATTGGATTCTTTCCGATGTAATGCACCTTCGAAATGTAAATTATTATGATGAATTAATACATTAATTATATAAGTCCAATCCAAAGTAGACACGGCAGCAAAAACAGCAACAGCAACAACACAGTCCCAGAGAACCCACACCAAACACGCAGCAGTAATCCCTCAATTAAACTGAACATTAACATTGAACTACCGCTGTTGCTGCTGCTGCTGCCGCTGCCCTGTTAGGGATGCTGTTTGAGATGAAGCAGGATCTGCTGAGGAAGGTGGAGGAGCTGACCAAGGATCTTCCCCTGAACACTCTCGACGAGCTCATCGAGAAGCTGGGAGGGCCTTCCATAGTGGCCGAGGTTATTGTTGCTGCGCACGCACACACATGCACACACCCGTTATCGACGCTTTCCGACGGAGGATGCGTGTATATAGGGCCTTGTTGGCCGTCGCGGAGATCCGTGTTCGTGATTTGGATCCGGGCCACGTGGTGGTTTTATGCCGAAAGTACTCGTCGTTAACCCTCCGTTTAAGCAAATTCGTCGTTAACCCTCCTTTTAAGCGCCGATGCATTGGATCAAATTCTGACCGATTGATCGAATTCTGAGGTTGAAAGCGGTGATGCGGCGGCCCCGTCCGTCTGTATACGGCTTGGGCACGATAGCTCTCGTGAAGTTGAACCGACCTTGGTATTGAGTTACGTTGCTGTTGGCGACTTACCCGAGAGAAAGCTGGCAAAACCGATTAAAAGACTCGCCCATCAACTTGGGTAAAAAAAACGGCGCTCAAAGGATTTACCGTGGCATTTGTGCCATGGTGGCCAAGCCCAAGCGCAGATGCTTCTCCAGGTACCCTCAAGCGTGCAAAACACATTGGTGGAATTTGGTCAAACATCCTCGTGCTGAACCCTCGTTGAGAAACAATATTGAGACTCTTTCCTCAATAAATGACGTACACGCGAGTAATGTAGTCAAATATTTGTCTCGCAATTGATGAAACTATGAAACTTAACTTTTACATTTTACCAGAGAAGGCCCACTGAGCTAATAGCTCTTTTTCAGAAGCGACCTGGCAACTAATGATAGCTTATCGTGTCGACCTTTATACCAGTGACACTCTGAACACGTGTTGTTGATTCTAAATGTGGAGGGAATAAACTCGGAGGACGCGTAGAAAAATCCACGCGACCACAGGGAGAGAGAGAACACGCAAACTCCAAATATACAGCAGGCATCAGGGTCGGGATCAAACCCACGACCTCCTGCATACCAGGAGAAGTAGTTAACATCTCCTAGCCACCGTGGCCTAATCCCAAGTGACCGGCAACCCAACTGTCACTCCCCAGGCTTGGCGCATGTCGCTCGTTTTCTTTTGCGTGTTCCGCAAGCTGTCCGGCCGCCTCTGACCACCCCCCGTGCGTGCGTCCGCTCTGCCAGATGACCGGGAGGAAGGGGCGCATCGTGCAGAAGGCGGACGGCAAGGTCGCGTACGAGTCGCGTGCGGAGCCCGGCGTCCACATCGACATCGTCAACATCAAGGAGAAGCAGCGGTTCATGACCGGCGAGAAGGTGCGTGACCGTCGAGTGGGGGGGGGGGGAGGAGGAGGGGTTGTCTGTGGTCTCGTCACTGACTAAGAATGAATGAATGGATGAGTGAACGAATGAGCAGATGAATGCATGAATGAGTGAACGGGCAGACGAATGAATAGAAAAAACGACTGGCTTGAATGTTGTGAATTGATTGAAATGGTGAGCAAACCCGGCAACCGGAGTTCAATTTCCGCCCACGGCCACCAACAGCAGTGACGTTTATCTGAACCGGTCCTGGGCCTCCCCTAGGTCAACTCAGCCTTAAATGAGTACCTGGTGCGGTGTGTAAATGTTGCCACTGCGGGAGGCAAAAGCGGGGCCGGGGCGGTCATGGTGTTTGGCCACCCATCCCACTGGTGTGCCGTGTGTCGGCCTTTATCAGTTGCTACTCTAACAGCACTTGCCCCAGCAGTCTGTTAAGGCTCCACGGTGGATCTTTGTCTTTGTGTGCATGCGTGCGTGTGCAGCATGTCGCCATCATTTCGGAGGCGGCCAGCTCGGGCATCTCCCTGCAGGCCGACCGGCGAGCCGAGAACAAGAGGCGGCGCGTTCACATGACGCTCGAACTCCCGTGGAGCGCCGACCGCGCCATTCAGCAGTTCGGTACGAGGATGATGTTCATTTTAACTTTGTTTGGTTTTTCGAGTTTCGTTGTCGATTTTTTTTTGGTGTTACGGAATGATCCGCCTGCAGTTGTGTCGTCAAGACCCTCCACCGCCCGGCGTAGCGAAGCGGTGCAGCAATTGTACGAATCTGGCCGGGTGGCACTTTGAACCCACCATCAAAAATACATGCGTTCGAATCCCAGGTCCGGGGTCGATTCCGGCCCATTGTCCCTCTGCGATTGAACGATTACCGCTGAGCGGAGAGAATGTTCTTCCTGCGTCGATGCTTGCGCACAGCGTCGTCCAGTGGAACTTTTTCAGTTGATTTTGAGACCAACAGTGGAGGTGAGCTCCCTCGGATGAATTGAGACAACGTTTTTTTACTTTTTGAGTGCCAACTGGAGCCGCCATACCCGGAGGAACTTCACGGAGAACGACGCTCACTGACACCGCGCTTCCCGCTAGCCTTGTTGTTGACCGGGCGTCGCAGTGGTGAGATGTTAACTACCTCACTTGGTACGCAGGAGGTCGTGGGTTCGATCCCGACCCTTAATTACTTGTATATTTGGAGTTTGCATGTTCCCCCGGTGGTTTCTGTGCATTTTTCTCCGGATCCTCCGGTTTTTCCCTCCACATTTAGAATCAACGTGCGTTCAGAGTATTTGACTGCTATAAATTTCACGTGATAAGCCACTTCGTTGAGCTATCATTTGTGGCCAGGTCACTTCTGCTTTATAGCTCAGTGGGCTAAATAGCTCAGTGGGCCTTACCTGGTAAACATTTTTCTTTTGTATATTAAAAACATAATTAATAGACACCTGTCGATTGTGTCGCGCGTGCAGGTCGCACGCACCGCTCCAACCAGGTGTCGGCTCCTGAGTATCTCTTCCTCATCTCGGAGCTCGCCGGAGAGAGGAGGTTTGCCTCGATCGTGGCCAAGCGACTGGAAAGCCTGGTGAGTGTGACGCGCAACGCTCTGCTTTTTTCCACAATCGCCCTGTCCAACGCTGAGGTTAGTCGTCTACCTTCACTGCAGCAGCAGCAGCAGAGAACCCATTGAGTCATGCATGGAACCAGGACCCAGAGAGATCCTGCGTTAAGAGCAGGTCGTCAGTCACCTGTAACTAACGTAAATCGAAAGTACTGAAATCGAAGCACATTTTCCTCCGTAAGAAATATTGTAAATAAATATGGTATGTGGGGGAAAAGAAAATTAGAATAGCGAATACACACGAAGGAGACTATAGCCAGTCAGGGACGCTGACACTTGGGCGCCTCGGGACATCTGGCGCCTGAATGTTTGCCGTGGAACGTAAACAAATTGGAGCTTCACGTTAAAGTTGCTAAATCGGGAGCACATCATGGCGAGGTACCACAGTGCGTACAGCGGGGAGGGCTTGAATCGTGGTGTTACTATTTCTACGGAGCCTCCAATGCGGTAACATCTCAAGGTGCCAGAGCAACTTGTTGGTGGATCAACGCACAGACGTTGATCCACCAACAACTCCCTTCATGTGGGCGTCGTGGAGTTGCCGTGCCCTGGCTCGCCAGGTGAAGGCAGCGCAGCGACATGTGGACTCCATCTGTATTGGAAAGAGCGTTTGCCCATTCGTCCACGTGGGCCTTCTCCGGGCGCTCCGCTCTCCACGCATTGATTGGCCGATAACGCCTTCATGTACAGAGGACCGCAGAGCTTGGTTGTGGAACTTGGTGGCGGCTCACCCCGCGTGGCTGCCCTCCTGCCCCGTCTGTGATCCTCGTCCCTCTGAGTGGTTTTCTCTCTCTCTCTCTCTACGAGAGTGAGTGAATGCTGTGTGGTAGTGGCACCCTTACAAGTTCACATTATTTTAGTTTATATGGCTGAACGTGAGTGGCGCCAATCGCACCACCGCCGCTCTGGCCTTGCCGGCCTTAATAGGAGCTCGCGAATAGCGGTGAAGCCGGGCCGTGTGTCTATCCACGCGGGGTTTGTCTCATCGTTGTGTGTTGACGCACGCAGGGAGCGCTGACGCACGGAGATCGGCGAGCGACGGAGTCGCGAGACATGAGCCGATTCAACTTCGACAACAAGGTGAGCGGAGAGCTTCCTCGGATTTTAAACGCGCTCTTACACGCGTGCACTTTTTAAATACAAAAAATGAAACCGCAAACAGATTTAAATGACACATTCTCTGGAAATTACGGATCTGGTAAGTTTGTGGGTGGTAAGGTGAAGTGTGTATTTTTGAGGTGCCAGTGACATGTTTAACAGCCCGAATGAAAATGTATTTGTTAGTAATTTTACTGAGGCAACTATTTAATTAACAATCTCAAACTTGTGCTTTTTTAATGTAATAATGTCAAATTGGCACCTCTATGATGAGCGTGGCTCCAGCGCTAATAAGAATGGAAAGAAGAACCCAGGACGAGCCCAGTGGTTTGTCACACCTCTGTTGCTCGGTGGGGGTCGAGCCTGCTGTGTAATGCTTAAGATAGGTGAGCAGCATGGATAAACAGGTGCTATAGGCTGCCGTGCTCCAGTGTCTGTGCTCCACGACCTCCACCGGGCCCGCACTGAGCCGCGTGGTGAAGTGTGGTCAAAACACTCCTCAAAACCTCTGTCACGTCTTAATGTATTATCCCTAAAGTACAATCCATCTTACGGTCCAATACACAACCCACTTCACATTCCACATAGAACCCGAATTGTGTCCAATACACTGATCGCTTATCCTCATCCGATGCAGAAACCTTAATTGACCCTATACAGAACGATGTTCTCATCTGATGTGGGACCCTTGTCTCATCCGACGCAGAAGTGTCGTGCCATCGAATCCCAAACCCTCGTGTCGCCCGTGCCAAGCTGTCTTCAAATAAAATGCAATAGACCCTCCTCCTTATTCGAGGCATTCATCTCGACTGTCCAATGGAGATTGCTTTCGTAAAGCATCTGATGGCGTCCGCGTCTGAAGATGATGCCGCACACACACACACACAGGGGGGACCATGCGCATCGAGAAGCCTTGCAAGTATTATTATCATCATCATCATCGATTCTCTTGACAATATCTTGGCACCATGCAGAGAGAAAGAGAGGGAAATGAGATGGAAATAAGGCAAATGTCAGTTTAACACGTAAACAGGCTTTCGCGACCACTATCATTTATAATATAGTTTTTTTGCGTTAGATCGCGTAAATATATAAATGTGTCGTTAAACCCCGCCACCACCCGACACAGCCAACTAGTAAGGTTTGTCACGTAAACAGAACGTGCCAATTCGTTACGAGTACAGCACACCAGTGTGTTGGAGAGCAAATCCACAACATTTACAATCTGAGTACGACGTTTCACCAGTAATTACAACTAGCTTTATCAGGCGAGAGCCAAGAGCAAAGGTGTAGCGTCCTTGTCTTTTTGAATGGGGATATGAGATTGACGTACAGCAAAGGTGTGAGCGTTCTCGTGTTTTGAATGGGGGCGCTCGGTCGACTCCGATGTGAAGACCCGTCGATCCGATCGGCTGGCCGCTTTGTTTCCCCGTGACGTGCGCGTGTGCAGTACGGCAGGGAGGCCATGGAGAAGGTCCTCAAATCGCTCATCAACCAGATCGACTTCCACTACATGGTCCCACCGCCGGCTAGCTACGAGGGTGACTTCTTCGAAGGTCCGTCTCGACGGCTGCCACCTTTCACCCCCTCCTCCCGTCGTTGGTGCTCCGGCCTCCAGAGGGGCTCTTCCTTGCGGTGCCTCCCCCCCGGGGAGAGTTCCCGTGCTGCCGCACGCGTCGTGCCGTCTTCATGTGGCGATCGGCTTTTGTTTGCCAGGCCGCTGCTGCGCGAGGGCCCTCCCCGTGCCGTGTGGGGGCCATGGGGGGAGTTATTTTGGCCGTCCTTCGCCACGCTGGTCGGTGCGGGTTGGAGAAAGGCAGTGGAGGGGAAGGAGGGTGCAGAGATGAGGGATGTACAAGTGCAGTACAACATTTGTTTTTTTGCTGCACTGCAGTGAAATTGTAAATGGTCTCACGGTATTGGATTTCTCTCGTCCGAATGAAGGCTCCGATTCTGATTGTCATCACAATTTCCCAAAGAAGGTACTGGCCACCGGCCGGATGAACAGTGGCTATTTGGAGGATGACTGCAATGCGCTGCTGTTACAGATATGAGGCAAGGTCTGGTGGGAGTGGGGCTGATTACGAAGGATTACAAAGGAAACTACTCCATTGAGAAAGGTACGGTTCGTGAGCATGCCCTGATCATCACTTCCGCCTGTACTTCGCCTCCGATTCGGTGTTGATTACACAGTATGAGCTTCTTCTCTCCTCATGGTAGTCAGTCTTTCCTTTTGGCTCACTCACTCTTGATTCACTACATCAACTCCTGTGGGTTTTACACGGGGCACTTCCCCCCTGCGCTCATTGGAGACGATGTCTCCTGGATGTCTCGGTAGAGACACTGTCCCTTCTGGGTGAGTCAGTAGAGTCACTGTCCCCCTCTGGGTGAGTCAGTAGAGACATTGTCCCCTCTGGGTGACTCAGTAGAGTCACTGTCCCCTGTGGGTGTCTCAGTAGGGTTACTGTCCCCTCTGGGTGACTCAGTAGGGTCACTGTCCCCTCTGGGTGACTCAGTAGGGTCACTGTCCCCTCTGGGTGACTCAGTAGGGTCACTGTCCCCTCTGGGTGACTCAGTAGGGTCACTGTCCCCTCTGGGTGACTCAGTAGAGTCACTGTCCCCTCTGGGTGACTCAGTAGAGTCACTGTCCCCTCTGGGTGACTCAGTAGAGTCACTGTCCCCTGTGGGTGACTCAGTAGAGTCACTGTCCCCTCTGGGTGACTCAGTAGGGTCACTGTCCCCTCTGGGTGACTCAGTAGGGTCACTATCCCCTGTGGGTGACTCAGTAGAGTCACTGTCCCCTCTGGGTGACTCAGTAGGGTCACTGTCCCCTCTGGGTGACTCAGTAGGGTCACTGTCCCCTCTGGGTGACTCAGTAGAGTCACTGTCCCCTCTGGGTGACTCAGTAGGGTCACTGTCCCCTCTGGGTGACTCAGTAGAGTCACTGTCCCCTCTGGGTGACTCAGTAGGGTCACTGTCCCCTCTGGGTGACTCAGTAGAGTCACTGTCCCCTCTGGGTGACTCAGTAGAGTCACTGTCCCCTCTGGGTGACTCAGTAGGGTCACTGTCCCCTCTGGGTGACTCAGTAGGGTCACTGTCCCCTCTGGGTGACTCAGTAGGGTTACTGTCCCCTCTGGGTGACTCAGTAGAGTCTCTGTCCCCTCTGGGTGACTCAGTAGAGTCACTGTCCCCTCTGGGTGACTCAGTAGAGTCACTGTCCCCTCTGGGTGACTCGGTAGAGTCACTGTCCCCTCTGGGTGACTCAGTAGAGTCACTGTCCCCTCTGGGTGACTCAGTAGAGTCACTGTCCTCTGGGTGACTCAGTAGAGACACTGTCCCCTCTGGGTGACTCAGTAGAATCACTGTCCCCTCTGGGTGACTCAATAGAGTCACTGTCCTCTGGGTGACTCAGTAGAGACACTGTCCCCTCTGGGTGACTCATTAGGGTCACTGTCCCCTCTGGGTGTCTCACTAGAGTCACTGTCCTCTGGGTGACTCAGTAGAGACACTGTCCTCTCTGGGTGACTCAGTAGGGCCACTGTCCCCTCTGGGTGACTCAGTAGGGTCGCTATCCCCTCTGGGTAACTCAGTAGAGACACTCCCCTCTGGGTGACTCAGTAATGACACTGTCCCCTCTGGGTGAGTCAGTAGAGACACTGTCCCCTGTGGGTGTCAGTAGAGTCACTGTCCCCTCTGGGTGAGTTAGTAGAGACACTGTCCCCTCTGGGTGACTCAGTAGAGTCACTGTCCCCTCTGGGTGAGTCAGTAGAGACACTGTCCCCTCTGGGTGACTCATTAGAGACACTGTCCCCTGTGGGTGACTCAGTAGAGTCACTGTCCCCTGTGGGTGACTCAGTAGAGTCACTGTCCCCTCTGGGTGACTCAGTAGGGTCATTGTCCCCTCTGGGTGACTCATTAGAGACACTGTCCCCTGTGGGTGACTCAGTAGAGTCACTGTCCCCTCTGGGTGACTCAGTAGAGACACTGTCCCCTCTGGGTGACTCGGTAGGGTCACTGTCCCCTCTTGGTGACTCAGTAGAGTCACTGTCCCCTCTGGGTGTCTCAGTAGAGTCACTGTCCCCTCTTGGTGACTCAGTAGGGTCACTGTCCCCTCTGGGTGACTCAGTAGAGTCACTGTCCCCTCTGGGTGACTCGGTAGAGTCACTGTCCCCTCTGGGTGACTCAGTAGAGTCACTGTCCCCTCTTGGTGACTCAGTAGGGTCACTGTCCCCTCTGGGTGACTCAGTAGAGACACTGTACCCTGTGGGTGACTCGGTAGGGTCACTGTCCCCTCTTGGTGACTCAGTAGAGTCACTGTCCCCTCTGGGTGTCTCAGTAGAGTCACTGTCCCCTCTTGGTGACTCAGTAGGGTCACTGTCCCCTCTGGGTGACTCAGTAGAGACACTGTACCCTCTGGGTGACTCGGTAGGGTCACTGTCCCCTCTTGGTGACTCAGTAGAGTCACTGTCCCCTCTGGGTGTCTCAGTAGAGTCACTGTCCCCTCTTGGTGACTCAGTAGGGTCACTGTCCCCTCTGGGTGACTCAGTAGAGACACTGTACCCTCTGGGTGACTCGGTAGGGTCACTGTCCCCTCTTGGTGACTCAGTAGAGTCACTGTCCCCTCTGGGTGTCTCAGTAGAGTCACTGTCCCCTCTTGGTGACTCAGTAGGGTCACTGTCCCCTCTGGGTGACTCAGTAGAGACACTGTCCCCTCTGGGTGACTCGGTAGAGAGACTCTCCGCAATGTGCCCATTTCAGCCAAATTCCCAGCTGAGTGCTTGGGGGTAAAGTGCAGTGGGATATCATTGAGTCATTTATTTTGGCCCCATAATCACCCTAAAGTCATTAAATAAAGACTCCGCATTTCTCGTTGCCTATGGCGATGATGGTGGCGGCAGGGATGATGATGACGATGATGGCGCTGATGATGCTGAATATTTCCTTCATTCATCTCGAGCGAGAGGCTTTGACTTTTTACCGGCGGAAACGGCGACTGTCGCGAAACCGAGTTTTCACTCCTCCGTCGTCGTCCCCGACTGCAGTTTCCTCCGAGTGGCAATGCTGATGCAGTGCCTTCGCCCCTCTCTCATGCAGGCATGAACCAGTACTCGCACAATGGCGTGCAGTTGGGACCGAATCAAGGTACTTTTGGGTCTGCTCCTACTTTCCTTTGTAGCTCTTCTTCAACTAGTACTCCCCCCCCCCCCCCCCCTTCTTGACAGATTTGAAGATGCGGTGACGATCGCACGGCGCGTTGAAACGTGCGTGTATTATTGTTTTGTTGTACTCGCCCACGGCCACTGTGAAACAAAGCAGAGCTGGGCCTCGCCAAGTTCCTCAACCGGATTCTGGGCATGGAGGTGACGAAGCAGAACGCCATCTTCCAGTACTTCATCGACACGTTTGAAGTCACTATCGACGCGGCCAAGAAGGAGGGCAAGTACGACATGGGGATTTTGGGTAAGGCCCCCACCGTCACGTGTTGTGTTGTTAAACTCAACTACGGTATTTTTATGTTACCAGATAAGGCCCACTGGGGCCCACAAATGATAGCTCAACCAAGTGGCTTATCACGTGGACATTTATAGCAGCAGGAAAATACTCTAGATGCACATTGGTTCTAAATGTTGAGGGCACAACCAGAAGTCCTGGGGAGAGAACACGCAAAGTCCAAATATACAATAGGCGTCACGGTCGGGATCAAACCCACAACCTCCTCCATACCAGGCAAGGTAGTTGACAACATCTCGCAACCCTGGCGAGATGTCAGTACGGAAGAAGTTCTACATACATCCAACCCTGGGCTGTGGTCAGAGCACCCAATTTAGATTTCTTACTATTCTTTACTTTACCGGGTCACGCCCACTGAGCCACAGCTCTTTTTCAAAAGCGACCTGGCGACGGAGTGGCTTAACACGTGGAAATTTATAGCAGCCAGTTACTCTAAGCGCACGTTTCATATGACAATTACTGCGGCGTGTTGTATGAACCGTAATAATTGTACGCTCCACCGTCCGCTTGAAAGGGGACGTTAGAGATCCCCTGACGTTATTTGGAAGTGCGGGCCATCGTGTGGCCCGCGTCGGATTTTAAATTTGACTGTCACACCGCAAATTGCTCAGTTGGGAATTTTACACAGCACAAATCGCCGATCCCCCCCCCCCCCTTACTGGCAAACGAATGCTCACAACTGGGATAAATATTCTGGCTTGGAAGCAGTTCGATTGGCTGATTGTGGACCGGCAACTCTGAACCGCGCCGCACAAGTGATGCGTGTGTCTCCTCTGGGTGCCTCTCTGAATGCATGGTGTGTACGTTCTCCCCCAGTTCTGCATGGCTTTCCCATGGGTTCTACGTTTTTTCTCCCCTCACACCTAAACCCCCCCCCAAATACAATGTCTAATTTAATATCATATTTATAGAGCGCTTGAAGTAGTTTGAAAAAGAAACGGCGACATGAGAATGATTTAGATGGCAGGGGCGTGCGAAGATTGAGGAATGAGTGATGGCAGCAATAGAGGGGTAATTAGGGGATCACGAAAGGGGAGGGATGGGAAGGAGTGGAGGGGTGAGGGGAAAGAAGAGGAAGAGAATGGGCAACGGAGAAGAGGTGAACTTTAAGAGAGGAACAGAAGGAGGTTTAGGAGTGGTACTGCCTTAATGCACAGGGGAGGTTGATTCCAGTGGAGGGATTCGAGGATGGAGAAGGAACGGAAATGGGATTGGGCACAGGGAGGAGAGGCAGGGAGAGAGAAGAGTGGGAACGAAGAGGACGAGGTGAAGGGGGACGTGGAAGGAATGAGAGAGGCGAGGTGAGGTAGGGCACGGCCATGGAGAGATTTTAAGACGAATGGGAAGCCATTGGACATGACGGAGGAGAAGCGAAGTTTGAGAGTTAAATGGGAGATTGAAAATTACCCTCGCGGAAGCATTTGAGTTTGTTGGTGGGGAGTGAGAGCAGAGGCGGGGAGACCGAGAAGAAGAGAATTGCAGTAGTCCAGGCCGGGTAAAGATCGGAGCATGAATCAGGAGTTTGGAGATGTGGGTTGGGGCGTAAGTGAGGGAAGAGTCAAAGGGGACACCAAGATTGAGGGCAGAGGAAGCAGGAGTGAGGGAGAGAGAAAGGAAGGAGTTGATGGCAACAGGAGGAGGAGACGGAGAGGCCGGAAAGAAAATGATGTTTTGGATGGATTGAGAGAAGCACAATCCAGGATTGGATGGCAGCCAGACAGGAGGAGGAGATGCGAGAGGACAGGTGAGGAGTAAGACGGAAAGGAGAATAAGATTTGTGTGTCGTCGGCAAAGGAATGATGAGGAAAGCAGAAAGAGGCGAAAATATATTCAAGAGACGAAATATCGAGAGAGAGAATAGTAAGGGACCCAGATCTGACCCCTGCAGAACATCGACACTGAGAGGGGGGAGAGAGGGGATACGGAGCGGTTGAAGGAGACTGAGGAAGTGCGAGAGGGGAGTGCCAGAGATGCCGAGGTCGGGGAGAGTGGAAAGATGAGTGGGCTGATCAAAGGTGGAAGAAATCTCAAGAAGAAAAGATTGGCGTGTAAGGAATTTGCAGTGTGGTTCCTGTCCACCCTTTGCGCCACGCAGACCTCGCGCCTGGCGTGGAGGAGATCAACGAGGAGAAGAAGCACACGTTCAAGATCCCCTCGTCCATGGGCAGTGGGCAGGTGGTGCTCTACACGGTAAGGTCACGTGGGGGTCACGGCGTGGGTCGCGGCGTACGTAGAGAGACGGGGAAGGCATTGCCGCAGCAGCAGCATCAACGTGGTCACCATTGTCAGTGTCATTATCAGTGTCATCATATTCGGTCATCATCTGTACCACCATCGTCATCACATTTGCCGATGTAAGTACTACTCTAGTCGTCACGTTTCGTCATTCATCATGACGACCGTCACGATTCCGTCCATTGTCGACAAGAATCGCCACCTCCGCTCGGTGTTATATAATGTTTCTATAAATACTTTCACCTTCACAGCTAAATTGGTTCACTTGAGAAGAGGAATTTTATCGGCAAATGTTTTTTACTGAAGTTGCCAAGGTCGAGACCGTGGTGAACCTAATCTCCGTCGCTCATGCCCTTCTGAGAGTGATGAGCGACTGATTTCACACTTAAAAGAACGCAGGTTATCACCGTGCGTGCAGAGAGAGGAGGCCGATTTTAATTCCAGAGTTGGGCTGCGTGCGGCGTTAGGGATGAGAAGACCCCCAAAGCGCCATTGCGCAGCCTCATGGGGGCGCCAAAGGAAACGCAGCGCGAGAATCAAAAGGGCGATTTGACTCGCGTGGCTCGGCAGACGATGCGAGAAACTCTCCGAGAGCGCGCACGAGTCGCGGCCGTGCCAGTAAAAGGGGCGGCAGGGCGACGGCGAGACGCAAGAGGCAGGATAAAGATCGCCGTTGGTGAAACGAATCTCCATTGTGTTCTGTCGACGAGTCCTCGCGTCGAATTTGTGGGCAGCGCTGTGGATGGGACGCTGCCGCAGCGGTGGTGCAGCACGCGGGGGCTTGCAATCCTGAGGGCGCCCGTTTGATGCGTCGAGGCGATGTTTGAAACAACGGTGCAACTCTGTTAAATCCCCGCGCCTCTGCCCGTCCGGCGGTATGCATCGGCGCACCGCAGCCCGTTGTCGGTTGGTGGGTCACGTGTGGTGGGGTCAAATGTGGGTATGCCCACTTTTTCCAAGACGTCTAACCAGTGCGGAAGGGTAGACCAAAATCCCCTCCAGAGGGTGCTCTCTGTACCCCTCTAGAGCTCCCTCCAGCGGGGGCCTTTCTGCCGGCGTTGAATGGCTACGCATTTCCCTTTCACCTTACGCTAGACTGGTAGACCCAGCGCCGCGCGTGGCATAGGAATGATTTGCGCCATGCGTTAGACGGCCGCTAGGCGGAGAGCATTTGCGCGGCATTGCGATCGAGTCTCACCTGCTGCTTGCATTTCCCCCCCCCCCTCGCCGCGTGCAGGTGAAGGTCGACCGAGGAATTAGCTGGGACCACGCGTTGGAAAGGAGAAAAAAGATGACGGGACTGAACGACGGATTCTACGTCATGAAACTGGTAAATCCAGGGGTGGAGTCTGAACCGCTTCGTACACATATGTGTACGGCATCACTTTTTCTTCTTATGACGGAAGAAAAACTGAAATAAAATAACTTTATTCGTACCGAGGCTCCTGCAAGGCCACGCGGGAGGGGCGTGTGGCGCAGTTTGGCGCCAGCTGACGTAGAGTGGCAGTCGTGTCGCTACGGTTCTCTGCGGTGAGTAGCGACAGCGACGCTACGCCTCTCTAAACAAAATTATCGGTGAACTGCCTGCGCGTTACAAGATTAAGCGGTGAACGGGGCACCCACCCTGCAACTTGCAGACGTCTCGAAACGGGAAAGGGTTAACAGACACGCCGATGAATGGACTCCTGGGCTTTGCACCAGTAGTGATTATAAACTATTGAAAGGCCCAAGTGTAGCTTGTGCTAATTTATACAATGATAAGATTTTGATTTAAAGCTTTCGTGACTGCAGTAATTCATATTCTTAGTTTTTTCGGTAAAGTCACGTTGAAGAGAAACAACAAAATAACAAAATATATATAAAACAATAAAAAATTCTAATAATTTATGCAAACCGACACACCTGATGATGACCGTTTGAGTTATGGTCGAAACGTCGTGAGAATTTTTTATTGTTTTATATATATTTTGTTATTTTGTTGTTTCTCTTCAACGTGACTTTACCGAAAAAACTAAGAATATAAAAATGATAAGATTCTTTTTACCGGGCTGTAATTATGTTACCATGGAATTTGACCATAAACATATTTTAATTGTTTGATAATGATGACACTGCTGCTGTTGGCAGTGGTGCACAAGCACAAATAACCAAATGTATACATTTGTAAATTACAAACGTATACGTTTGTATGGTGAGACCTGGAGACGGCACTTGACATCGTGAGGCCTGATGAAGAATTAATGTTAGATGTGTTAGCAGCCACGTGGTCGCTGTGGTTCGAACGCATCACCTGCAATCAAGAAACCCCCCCCCATATCCCCCCATACCCCACTCAGTTTGACTCGGCCCTGCTCAGTGAAGGCTCCACTCAGGTTTGGTTTTCCACCACCGGATGGTGATGGAATACTTTGAGGGACCCCTCGATTTGTCTCACGCGCTAGTCATCTCAGCCCTTCACTCCTCCTGAATGAAGGGTCCACTCAGCCCTTCATTCCTCCTGAATGAAGGGTCCACTCAGCCCTTCACTCCTCCTGAATGAAGGGTCCACTCAGCCCTTCACTCCACCTGAATGAAGGGTCCAGTCAGCCTTTCATTCCTCCTAAATGAAGGGTCCACTCAGCCTTTCATTCCTCCTGATTGAAGGGTCCACTCAGCCCTTCACTCCTGAATGAAGGGTCCACTCAGCCCTTCACTTCTCCTGAATGAAGGGTCCACTCAGCCCTTCATTCCTCCTGAATGAAAGGTCCACTCAGCTCTTCACTCCTCCTGAATGAAGGGTCCAGTCAGCCCTTCACTCCACCGCAAGGATCCACTCAGCCCTTAATTTCTCCATGAAACAACATACGTGCGAAGTCAACAGCAGTCACTCTGGTGGTGTAACTAGCCCTTGCCATGAGTATGCGGGATTTCCACCGTTTGTCTATGGGCTACCATTGGTGACGAGTGCCTGCCCGCTTTTTTCTTTCTTCCTATTGTCCGCGTGGAGAATCGTTGAACGGAGTGGAGACACCAGCTGTGAGGGCTCTGAAACGTGCAACGAATTTGGCACGAAGGGGCCACGGGCGCGCACCGCCCGGTGTCTGCGCATGAAACAAATCGAGGATCCTTTCAAAGTATATTCCATCGCCATCCAGTGATGGGAAACCAGACATCTTCAGACGAGTTTGAGTCTTCGTTCACCGATCACGTAACCTTTTTGGGAGCATTGTAACGTGTAGCCAGTGCCGGATTATCCAAGGAGCAAAAGTAGCCACATATGTTACGGGCTCCGCACTTTCAAGGGCCCTGCGCTAAATGCTTTTAAGCAATCAATTCCGGTTTAGTGATTCTGCACTAACTCTATTACTAGACTGCCTTCAAACCTTTATGAACGACTGGGTGTTTAAGGTTAGCGATTTGTCGTATTATCTGGCTGTATAGCAAATGAAAGAATACAATTACTTTACTATGCAAGTGGACAATTTGTGTTTTCATATATATTTTTTGTTATTTAGGTCCCCTTTATACCATATACTGCAGGGCCTGTACTAGCCTAATCCGGCACTGCGTGTAACCGCTCTATAGATGGCGTTTTCAAAGTGACGTAATTAGATTTCGTAAAATATTAAGATTAATTTCTACAAACGCGTCACGTGTCTAATGGCAGAAAAATTGGCAGTGTGATCTAATTTTAGGCATTGCGGTACGATGTGTGTGCGTTGGCTGTTAAGCCGAAATGCCCATAGTCATTTCGCCCCTTCAGTTTCGTTGTTTGTGGAATTATTCTCCAATAAAAACAAATGACCTCATGGCCTTTCCAGCTGCCAGTTGAGCACCAAAACCATCGCTCACCACCTGTTGCGATTTAGCAAAACACAATCGAGATGCATTTCATTCCACACCCCCGATTAGCACGGTTGGCTACGTACGGTGCGAAAGAAGTTAAATGTACGTACGTACGTAACATCAGTACTTCACACACGGTCCGTCTTGCGTCACCGATGCCTTGGGCTGTCCGCTGCCTCCCCTCGTCCCTGCCTGCAGCTTTCGCTCGGCGCTCTCCCCACGTGTCCCCTCTATAAACGTGCATTTAGATGATTTTGGTTGTTTTGCCGATTTATATTTCCACATGATAAACCACTTTTGTTGAGCTATCGCTTGTGGCCAGGTCGCCTCTGAAAAATCAGCTAACAGCTCAGTGGACTTTACCTGGTAAACTATTTTTTTGCATATTTGTTTAAGTGATTTTGTTTACCTTTCCTCTACTTTGCACTCCTATCGTGGTTTTATTACCGTTTGTTGTTGCAACGTTCTGACCCGCCCTGTGAAAAAAAAAAATCGTTAAAGCTCATCGTATTTCTCCAGATTAAATAAATATTCTGACCGTGAGACGCTCCCACCCTTCCACGACTCTTGTCGGCGGCCACCCTCCTCCCATCGTCGACGGGGGGTGGGGGGGGGTGGGAGGTTAAAGGGTTTGTTGTGACGCCCTCCCCACTCTCGTTGGGGATCCACAGATGCGCTCGGGCCGGCAGATGGCGATACTCGCCGAGGAGTTTGACAAGGAGAAGAAGCTGTTCGTCATCTACCGACCAAACACAGGAAAGCAGCGTCACCAGGAGGAGCTCCGTGACCTCAGCAGGAAATACGACAAGGTAGCGGCGCGTCCAGCGGGCTTCTGTGGGCGTTCTCGCCGGTGTGCATCTCTCCGGTTGCTGGGAGATGTTATCTCCCGCAGCCTTGTATGCAGGAGGTCGTGAGTTCGATCCCGACTCCTGACGCCTGCTGTGTATGTGGAATTTGCGTGTCTCTATCCCCGCGGTCGCGAGGATTTTTCCACCGGGTCATCTGGTTTTTTTTCCTCCACGTTTATAATCAACGTGCATTTAGAGTGTTTGGTTGCTAGAAAGTCCCACGTGATAAGCCACTTCATTGAGCTATCATTTGTGGCCAAGTTGCTTCTGAAAAAGAGCTACATAGCTCAGTGGGCCTTACCTGGTAAAAAAAATATATATTTTTAGTTTTCAGATCATGCCGCGCGATGTTAGGCACGACGTCCGATGTTACGCTCTGCGCGTTCTTATTTTTTTTTTTAAGGAGGGCACAGACCACGTGGGAGCAATGTTACTCGCACACGTGCGATGTTAATTTTCCAGCTTTGTTAACAAAACAAGGAAGGAATATCATGCATATGCGTGTATTCTGAAGCACTGTTAGTGATAATGTTACATTCCTAAGCTCTGCGGCCACATGGCCCTTGACGTGTGACGTCATCGCCCTGGCCTGCCAGGCAAATTCTCGCAGCGGTAGTTTTTTGATGCCCAGTTTTGGGAAACTGATAAATTTGGCCGTTTTTCTATCGGGCTAAGTTTCTAATAGCAATGTAAAATACATTATAATTGTGTTCGTAGTGAATCGGCTTTCCACGAGTTATTGTGGGGGTATTCCCCGCGACAGATGGACAGGCGGACACAGATAATGCGCTCGCAACCATGGTTGGAAAAATGCAAACGATTGAATGTGCGGTGCTGCTAATGCGTTATTACGTTACTCATGCCTGAGTGATTTTTGGCCACGGTGAAAACGGCACAGGGGAAGCATTTCTCCTCACTTGGCGCATTTCCAATCTCCCCCTTCAGGTCACGGAAGAGGAGGCGGAGGATGTCTGGAAGTACCAGTACGACTGGTCGTTCGACAGTTGCAGCCACGCCTTCTGGTCAGTCGAAAGAGGGGGACGGTGGGAGGAGGTTTCTCATGATCGTGGTGGGGCAAAGTGTGGGTAACCTCGATCGCGTACCTCTGCTGGTTAATTCCTCTTACATCTCGCGATGGGAGGGGAGTGGTGGCCAGAGAACTCTAAGATTATCATAATAATAATAATTTCAACTTGTGAAGGGGCACCGCACAGCGTCCGCTCGCTCTGGTAGAGAGAGAGAGAGAACGACTCGGAGGCGCTAGGTGGCGGGACCACAGGTGAGCGGGAAGACAGCAGCAGCCACGCGGTGAGGAGCCGGCGCTGCCAGCAATTGCCCCAAGCCCTGCGGTCCTCTGTTGTATTTAGGTGTTTATCGACCAATTGACGAGTGTTTGCATGTGGGAGGAAACCGGAATACCTAGAGAAAATTCCAAACGTGTGCGAGGGAGAAACACTCTATCCCTTCCAGACGGAACAGGTGGAGTCCACGCACGTTAAACTTCTTTCGCGCCGAGCCAACTGTGCTAATCTGGAGGTGTGCGATTAGCACGATTTGTAACCGCACGCCGCTCGTTTTCCCTGTAAAATATGGGCATTGCAGTGTGGGGTATTGTCCAGGGTGCAAAGTTAACCATGGGGCAGGGCTCCATCACAACGAATCCCTTCTCCCATCCGTAAGCGTGTCGCGTGTATCTTGTGGCGGCTGCAGTTATCACCCAGTGTTCCCTGCTGCGTTGAGAACAAAAAATACGAACGTTCGTTCGTACGTTGAACTTCTTTGGCACCGTGCATGCAGCCAACCGTGCGAATCTGGAGGCGTGCGACGAGCTCGGCGTAACATAGCGCCGCTCCGCTCGTTTTTGTTTTCGCCCCCGACGCAGGAGCGGCCGCTGCCGGAACGTGGCGGCGCTCGGCTCTTGCTCGCACGGCGGCCGGCTGTGCCTGCACCACGTGCTCTGCGGCACGCTGCTGAGCGTGTGGCGCGGGGTGGAGGACGCCATCCAGCAGGTCACCAACTCCACCAGCATGCAGATCGTGCGGCTGCAGACCAAGGATAAGCGGCGGCAAGTGGGTGAGTGAGAGGCAACGCCACCGCCGGCGGCTCGCGGGGGGGAAGGGGGGGGAAAAGGGTCGTTCGTGTGGTGCATGGTTTTGCGCGGACGTCCCCGGAGATCGAGCTGGGGTCCTCTTGCCACCCCCGGGGGTGTTTGCGGTCGTGTGAGGTTCTGAGCATCCCCCGCTCGGGGGCGGCTTGTGTTTTTTTTGGAGTACCGCAGGACATCATCGGGGGGTTCTTTTTGCGTTGAGTTTGTTGGCCTTCTTCCGCACCTCTGATTAGCACGGTTTGCGACGTATTTCACGAAATGACTTGAACATACGTACATCAACCGGTGACGTGCCGGCCAGCGGTATTAATATTCATGTTGCTCGGGTGGAAGTCTTGCTGCAGGAAAAACTGCTTTTGACTTCCCGCAATGTAATCGTCTTTGTTATCAACCCCGTGGGACAGCGGGTTGCTTGGTCTCTGAGCTGGGAGTTGAACTCATGACGGCTCACAACTGAGACTCTTAAAGCCCCAACCGCAGTTCTGCAAATACCAAAAAGGGAAAAAACCAAGCAAAGGGGTGTAGAGGGCTCACTTTGTGATGGGAGAAGCGCACCGTTACGCGGTCGGCGCATTCACCAACGCATCCCGAGCATTATTCCCGATGAAGACTCTTTGCGAGTCAGCCTTCCTAAATGGTATGACATAAATAAAGTGTACTAACCCAGCCCCTTCATGACTTTCACTTCTTGGTGTTTACAGTGGCCAAGCAGATGGATGTTGGAATGTAATGTAGGGTTTAAAAGAATAATAACAATGTCAACTTTTTTTAAGTTTGCCACACGTGACCCCCCCCCCCCCTCTCTCCATCATCATCATCATCATCGCCTCCCCATCCCCACCTCCCCTTCTGCCACGGCCGTCCGTTTTACCCTTTCCCCCCCCCCCCCCAGGAATCAAAATCCCGGAGAACTGCCTGAGCAAGGTGATGAAGGTGCTGGCCAACCAGGACCAGGCGCTGCTGCTGGCACGCGAGTCGGTCATCGTGCCGTACCCCAGCAGCCCGTCGGCGTTGTTCATCGACGAGACCTTTCCCGACGGCCTCAACGGCTAAACCCGGACGCTTCTGAGCCCCCACCACCACCGCCCCCCCCACCCCCACTAGCCAGATATCCCGAGCCGTATCGCGTGGCGTCGAGGTGGCGGTGGGAGAGGATTGGGGGGGGGGCGTTTGGGTTGGCGACCATCGTAAGACTCGCCGTGTCGTGTCCCTGGCGGCGTCGGCGCCGTCGCTTCGCGGTGACCTCAGTGTGCGTACATACGTGCAGTATACGTGTATATTAGTATTTACTCTGTGTACGTATATTTATGTTGTATTTAGATGTAAATGCAAACATGTCCGCGCGCGCGTGTGTACATATATAAGTATTTATGTGTGTATTTATATATGTTTGTATATAAAGTCAGTATATACATTCTGTAAAGGGTAAAAAGAGAAATCCAGTCCGTGTTTTCCCGCCCACCCGCGGAAAAATCTTTTACAAACGCCGCACCGCGGATTTTGTAAACGGCGGCGTCGGGACGGCCAGTGTCGTCGGTGCTCCGGGCCGGTAGGCGGCACCGTCGGGGCCCCCCCCCCTCCCCCCCCCCCCCGGAGCTCGGTCCCCCATCGACGCCTCGGCTCCTGCCGAGGGGTCCGCGTCGTTTTGGCCCGTCGAGGGGCTCCTCCGCCGTGGGAGGTCGGAGGGGGAAGCGAAGCGGCGGCGGCGGCGTCGATGGAGGCGGCACCGCCCCCCTCCCCCCCTCCCTCCATCCCCTGCCCCCCCCCCCCACACCCCATGGAGGTGCCGCTCGTACAATCGTGACCTCCAGTATTGTAGAAGGAAGTTGTATTTTGAGGTTCCCTCCCACACCCCCCACCGCCGCACCCTTGTTCTGACTACATTTGGTTTCGACTTTTAAAGAACCAAAGTGCCTTATGATACACAACTCCCTCTGCCAATCCAGACGTGTGAATGCAGTATGCCCTCGACTCATCTCCGTCGTCAAACTGAAGCCCGTTGTTGTTGTTGTTGTTGTCGTCGTCATCGTCGTCGTCGTCGTCGTTGTTTTCCTACGGTGGTTTTAATGAGCGTCGGCCAAGCCAAACAGAACCCACCATCTGCTGTAGGAGGGGGGAGGGGGGGGTGTTGTGCTCGATTGCGAACGTCAGATCTGAAGAGTCCCCAAAACTTGCGCGTTAAGGAACGGCATCACTAACTTTGTCTTCTTAGCCCGGCCGCTGGAACAGACTCGGGAAGCTTCTGTGTTGTTTGTGTGCGTATGTATCGATATAGGCGAGTGTATGCGTATGCGTTACGCACCTCCGATAAGCATGGTTGGATACATACGGTGCGACAGAAGTTCAAAATACATACGCGTCTGTGGATGTGTGCGTGTGTCTCGGCGGCTAACGCGTTGCGCTATGATCTTGGCAACCTGGGTTCAACCCCCGGTCATGACTGACACTGATGGCAATTGGTATCTGAACCGGTTCTGGTCCCGCTCCCTCGGTCGACTCTACCTTGAGCACCCCGTGTGGTTGATGAACATTAGCAGGCGACAAAGGTGGCCGGGCCTGGCGTTGATCACACGTCACCCTCGTGAGCCGTGCCGCCCTTACTTAGATGCTCACCACAGCGCTTGCCGCTGTGGTTTGTCAAGCTAAATAGGAGGTCGTATATACGTGTGCGTGTGTGTGTTTATTGCACGTATGTGTACATTAGAGATGTGTGTTGCCAATTTTTTGGGGTTAAACTGAGAAATTCGTGAATTGCGCCTCTATTAAAATTCTGAAAAGACAAGTTTTTGATCGACAAGCTAAAGAGCGTGTGACAGGAAATACCATGACGTGTATTATGACACTCCCACCAAATGTCGCATCACGTGGGATCAGGCGACGCCGGCTGGTACGACGGCACGTTGACATCCTTACATTATGGAACTGATTCGTAAATCTCAAAAAAGGGCCAAAATCGTCCCTTAAAATCGGAAATCCTACAGTTTCACCAACGAAACTCACCCCTGGTTTTGCGTGTGTTTACTTACGTACGTGTGTTTCTCGTCCCGACGTTCAGCTTTTTCTAGCCGGTGCGAGATCTGTCGGCCCGTACTCGTGCGAGCGCAAATCGTAAACGAACGCTGGCTCGGCGCGTGGGCCGAGCACCCGTGCCGGGTTGAGCCCGGGTCGCAGTGGGCGGTCAAAGTGCCGTCTGTGCGGCCTCCGGGCCATCTTCCCCCTCCGAGCATTCGTCTCGGATGTAATGAGATTGTAGGCATGGTCAGGCGCCACCACCCCCTCCCAAACAGAGAGCGTACCACACCGCCACTTTCATATTCACGTCGAAAATCTACAGGTGGTGGGGGGGGGGGGGGGGGCCAGGGGAGGGGGGGGGGAGGAGCGCGTGCAAAACGGGCACGGCATCACGGTTCTTCTGCCAAACGGAAGATGCCCCCCCTCATGCCGACGGATGAATTGGGCGGGTGGGGGGGGAGGGGCACGTGTCTCATTGTGCTTGTGCCGAATTCCCAAAATCAAATGGGATTTATTGTTGGTTTGTATAACAGCGATGAGACAATTTTTTACCAAAATTCCCACACCGTGGTATGTAATTCTTCTGCACGATATTTATTTTCCTTGTAGTGCCATGCCCTTGTCGTTTATTTTAATTTTTTGTAGAATCGTTTTTTTTTAAATGTTTCGGTTACTGTTGTACAGATCCTTGATGCCAACTTTTTTCGTGGCATTGTGTGAATGTTTTTTTTAAAAACTTGCTCGGGCCTTGATGTCAGGTTTGGTTTGGCCTTGACCTCATTCTATAGAGTCAGCCATACATTATATATATTATATAACGTTAAAAGAGAAAGTTGTGTTTATGTGAAAGGCAGTTTTAAACATAGCATTTGAAATGTACGCACGTGACAATTTTTTTTTAAGCCAAATTTCTATCACAACAGACGAAAAAAGTAGTTTTGAAACAACCGACCAAAATTGTAATTATAATTTTTTATACCAAAAAAAAAAATCTTAACATGAAAACCGCTGCTTTAATTTAACCTTATTGTAGCTTAGCCACCACGTAACATTTTAATCTATCCTCTGTCTTAAACTTTGGGGACCACGTTTGCACCTATTCCTCGTTTTCCTTGCATGTCGAAAAAAACCAACCTGTTTTCTTTCGCCGCGCGCGAGCTCCCGCACGAGCCGCGATGTCCAACAACGGCTGACGGTGACCTTAGGGTCGCTGTGCCCCCACGCGCCCCGCCTTATCTCGCACGGTCGCCAGCGTTTGACGACAACGCGGTCGCCCCCCTCCTCCTCCCACCCCCACGCACGGATTTCACCTCCAACCGAGCAGGCCCCTCCGGTTCCATACGAGGGTCCCGCGAGTGAACTGTGAGAGAGAGGTCGCGCTTGGCGACCTCTCACCTTTGACATGCGCCGTAGCGTCCCCTTGTGTCCTTGTGTTTCTTGAGTGTTTGCGGTGATGTTTAAGTAGGAGGGGGGCGGCGGCGTGGGAGCGGGGCGATGGAGAATTCTTGTGGCCTGACAAAGATTGCAGTGGCTTGTCCTTGATGATGTCCTCATATTTTTGTGCATGTTTTTTGAAGTGCAAGCCGGACTGTGATCCTCATTCCTTGAGCGTCCCAACATTTTAATTCCACCTGGAAGAACGTTTTTTTTTTGCGCTCCTTTAAACCGGTCGTTCACTTCACACGCGTCGCCCCTTTGGTAATCAGACAAGGTGGATCTCTGATGCGGTTCCGGCCGCGCCGCGTGTTATTTGGGCACGGAGTTCGGAGGTATCACTCCACGCGTGTCGGCGGGCCTCTTCAGCGGGACAAGCACAGCCGCAGGAACCGTCGCAGGCGGTCCCTCTTCGCGTGTGTGGAGATGAGTGGCCGGCAATGGGATCCAGCTCTCTGTCATGCCGTCTAGCCCAGATTACCATACGATGGGATTTCTCTTCTTTTTCTGCAGATGTCTGTGGATTTCTCAACGTCTCTGTTAAAACACTGCGATTTTCACAAGTACATTTAAAAAAAAATTATACAGTAGAGTACAGTTAATCTCTTGAAATGCAGTTTGGCATTACATTAATGTACGTTTATCTGTCCATTCGCCCTTGATAATAGCAAAAACTCAATTACGTCTGTGAATAACACTGCCTTAAAAGCAGGAGTATATAATTGGTGATGTTTTGGGCAGTAGCCCCTTCCGCGTAGTGCAGGAAGGGCCGGCGTCCAACAGGCCACCTATCGTAGGCACCGGTTTCTTTTGAGGCCACGGTGTTGTTCACGAACATGGGTTGTGTTATTTGTGCTTTTTGGTACCACTGCCAATGCAGTGTCACGAAAGTAACTTCGGAATAGCACCACCCCTCCGATGTCAGGCCACGGTCCTTTTTCCCTCGTCCCCTGTTTTGTTGTGTTTGCGGAATACCTGTCGATGCTGACTTTTGAACGCTGCGTTGGGGTTTTGTGGTGGCCAGACTGCCGCTCTTTGCGATCGCCAGGGGGGGTCCCACCCACGGGTCTGAGTTGTCTCTCAATTCGGTAGCCGCGCAGAGAGCAGCCCTCGCCTCGGCTCAAATGTGGCCGGCGATTCCCGGTAGTTCCGACCGGAGCTTTCGGACTTATGGCCCAGTCAACGTGGAATGTTGGGTCAACAGTTCCAGCCACATTGGCCCAACGTGGGCCCCAACTCTGGTGTATGTATTGGGGTGTGCGATGCCGAGGCAACTGAATATGTAGGAGCGAAGCTTGTGGCGGGTGGTGTGGTCGTGCATGATGGTGCTCCGACCTGTTCGCTCGTTCGGTGGCATGACATTTTGACCCTTTGCACGTTGCGTTTTAGTGGAAAGCTTCTATTAAATGGGTCGTTGTGTCTTAAGCCATGGCGCTTACTGCAAACAAACATCCGCTCGTTAAAAACGCAATGTGGAATTAATTGAACGAAACGTTGTAGACTCATTTTTTCGCCATATTCCTAACAGAATGTGTTTAGCAAGTGGGAAGAGACATGGGTACGCAGATAAATGCCACATAAAATTAGAAGATTATTCGCAAAAAAAATGAAATGGTTCACCAACCCTCTTGCTCTGCTGTTGCCTTCTGGCCCACCTCATTCCCAGGCAGGTTGTGAGCCCGACAGTGATCTGTGCACGGTCTGCACCCACCCCATTTACAAAGCGATGACATTACCGGCGTATGAAAACAATACTCCAACGATTTACAGGAAAATCTCACTGAGGATCAAATTATACGCTTAAATTTTAGGACATGTTAAAGCGATTCGTTATTCAAATGATGGTGAATCCTTTATTTCAGCTGGTGGCCCTCAGCTGTTGGTGTATATTCCACATTCCTATGACAGGGATTATCTCTAAAAAGCAAAAAAGATCATTTTAACAAACCTAAACTTCTAAATGGGTTTTTATAAAGGCAAAGGGCATTTGGAAGTTGAAGGGTTTTCTGACAGAGTAACAATTTATAATTTTTATTGTTGTTCCAGTGTGGTGTGTAAATTTGCCATCGTTGTGAAGTAGAATTTCCTGTCGAAGATGTGAGGATCCCGTTGAGATTTGTGTAAGCATTCACAAACCTCGGAAGATTTCTTTTTCCGTTTAACCATTTCACATTTAAGTTTTTTGTAAAAAAAACTGCATTTAATGGAAGCTTTTCAATACGTGCATGTAAATGTGTGGCGTAATATTTTCATTTTAAATTATTATCTATCTGTAAAAGTGCAGCCCTGAATTTTTTTTTCTCTTGCTACTACTGCCGGCTATTTTGTTGGTGAATAAGGATCAAGGGGGGGGGGGGGGGCTCGACGCCATAGCTCTGTTGCATTTTCATCCACCGGATTAATTTTGTCAGTTCGCGCGTTAGAATTCTTCTCTCTTAACCTGTTCACACGGTGCAAGTATTTTGACCCCCCCCCCCTCAATGTGTTAGACACGAGCTCAGGTTTCACTCCGTGTGGATGTCGCGTTTTGTCGACTTGGTTCTGCTGCACTGGAAGGGCGACATGGTTGGGTTTTTAGAGTGCAGTTTTAACTCGGTTCCTGACCGCACGTTCACAAACACGAGCCGCTGTGGGACGTATTGCATCCTTCTTTCAGCGGTCTCGGTAGTTCCCAATCACTAAAACGCATTATCCCAAGATATAGTCCGTGAGCCCCCAGATCCGATATCTCATTCGTTGGTACCGCTTGAAGTGGCATCACTATAGTGGGTTCTAATCTCTTAATGTGGCCAAAAATAGTGAATTATGTGATAAACATTTCATGTTGAAGGAGGTTATCGAATAATTCACTCTTATTAGCCATATAACAAACATTGGTACTTCTAAAGTTGTGCTGCCTTATGTGGTACCAATTTCTGCTTGAGCCCACGAACTAAGACTTTGGAAATACAGAAA